AGTATTAAAGTTCTACCAAAATAACTAATAAATTATAACTAATATTAGGGTAAAATATATGATATAATAGGACTCATCATCACATATATCCACCTTTTCATAATATGTTCGTTTTAACCTTTCTAGGGTTGAACAATGATATGATGCGTTGAATCATCAGGTAAGGCCATCTCCAATCGACCCAGCCAAAGAGTCATAGGGTTAAAAATAGTTCGGAATGACACGAAAATAATATCCAACCAAGGGCTAGGCCAAAGGTTTTGTGGGCCCTACCATGCCAAAACCCCCAAATCAAAACAGCGGGCTGGCCATTTCCAGTCAACCCTCCAGCTCAAACCCATTTGAATGCCAACAGCTAGCTGATATCAGATTACCATTGGAATTTGAATATTTTTTTTCCTAGAAATACCTAAGCCATTCATACACCATTTCTCACATACTTTTCACTTTAGCGATACGTGTCACTCGAAATCATATCGTAAAAATTATTGAGATTACACAAAGATAAGAAATCTAGAGAGTTACTCACGTTAGCGACATGTGTCACTCAAAATCCTATCCAAAAAATTATTGAGATTATATAAATATAAGAAATCTGAAAGCTTATTCATTTGGCAACAAATGACACTCAAAATATGTTCGAAAACCTTATTTTAATATGGTAGTTTAATTTAATTAACCATATTAATTCAATTAAAATAATAAATTATGTTTGGCTTATGGCTCTTTGGCTCCCTTGGTTGAAGATGGTTTTTTGTAGGGGTGGAGGTATCCCAAATCGAAAATGGGATCTCAAATCCCAAACCAAAAATATTTTGGACGGAAATTTGAAAAGCAATCACAAACCGAAATTTCGGTATTCCCAATTTTCGGGATTCCTAAAATATTTTCGGTATTAAGGGATGAAACGTGATTGCGTTTTGGCTTTTGGCCATAAATTTGAGATTTTATGGTTTTTGGCTTAAAATGTTGTTACCCAAATTCATATCAATTGAAATTTAAGTTGTTTACCTATTACCAATTTGAAATTTCTTATCAATTGAAATCTCAAATCATTCTTACCAAGTCAAATTGACGTTATAAAGTTCCAAACTACTTAATTTCATACTTCTCTTTCTAATATACTCTACTCTCAAATTACTGAAATTCAATATTTAACATGCATAAACCAAAACAAATATACATATATATTTTTGGTTCGGTTCAGAATTTCCTAAACCATTGAATATGTAATCCCGATTCCCGTACCGAAAGGTTAGGTATGGATCCCAAAAGTTTCGTTACTATAGGTTTGGGATTTTTTCGATATGGGATTGAGATTTTTTTGGTTTGGTTTGGGATTTTTGGGAAAAATTTTCAGCCGTGGTTTTTGTCAAAAGGCTATGTTTGACCTATGATCCTTTAACTCTCTCGGTTGAAAATGGCATAAAATATGGTCTGACATTATTAATTAAAATATAATTTATTGTAAGACTATGAGGTTAAAGGGAACCATTTGACTCACTTTCGGATGGTTGGAGATGGCCTAAATCACTCAAACTTCTATGCCTGCTGCTACGCTTTCCTTCTTTAAGAAATACGTGGTGCAGAATCTTGCAAGAATAACAAGACTCAGCAGAAGCACCCAAATTATTGCTGAGACCAACACCGATGCATGCAGCCAAATCTTAGCCGCAGAATCATTAGAACAACTTCAGGGTTCACAACTAATTAATAAATAAGCCGGGTCCAGACCCGGGTCGGGCCATGGATTTTAACGGATCTAGTTTTAAAGTCTAACCTATCCTTCCATTGGATGTGAAAAACCCAAATAACCAAGAGCCCAAATTAGCCTTGTTTACCTTTTTTTTTTTTTCTTTTTTGCTTTACAACTTTTTTTTTCTTTTATGGATAAAAAAAAATAAAATAAAATAAAAACAAAGCCATTACACCTCAGTTACAACTAACGAGAAATGTTAGACATGCCAATTTTTTTTTTTTTTTTTAACACATTAGTGTACCATATAAAAAAAAAGTAATTTTCACATCTTTTAATTTTTCACACATTTTTCTTTATTTCTGATCATCATATTAAATAAATCGAATGAAATAAACATATATGATTAAATATGAACGTGTGAAATACTAAAAAAAATATGTATTTATCATTTCTCAATTGAAAATAAAAACATTCCTAGAAGAAGGCAAAACATTCACTGTATGTGTTCAATCACGCAGACGTAGTTTTGAAAATATGTATGGAATGTTCTCAATTGAAAATATGTTGTCAATTGAAAATAAAAACATTCCTAAAAAATATGTATTTATCATTTCTCATTTCTCAATTGAAATACTAAAAACATTCCTATATGGTGTTATATATTCATGTAAAGTATTGTGCTTAGGATTAGAATGGGTTGGAGGAAGTAAAGTAAATTTCTAGCACTATTATTTTGTGAAGATCACATACTGTAACGTCTCAATTCTTAACTTTATGGTTTTTTTCTTTTGAGGATTAATTTTTATGCATCATTTTCTCCGGCACACTCGTGTTTAATATTTTCTCTCAAATTAAACATATAAAAATTAATCAAAAGACGTACAGAAACAGATGCGTCCAAAAGACAACAATATGGGCAAAAACAAAACAGTTTTTCATTAGGAAAACTAATAAAAAAGGTTTGAAAAACTAAAAAAAAGGTTTGAAAACTTTTGAGTTTTAACGATAATGACAAAATAAAGGGTTAAGTGAATAGTATTAGAATTAACTTTTTAGTGTAAAAATGTGATTTTTCATTAAAGTGAATAATACTGAGAACTTTTTGTTAAAAATTCCTTTTTCATTTTCTTTGTGCAGCCGCCCATATGCATGATATGTTGTTTGTTGCAATAAGTCTGAGGAGACTTAACCTGCACGTCACAAGCTACAATGTCACACCGCACGCCATGGATGCCCGAAAGCAACCTGATGGCGAAGTTCATCGGATGCAGTCGATCCAGTTGGTTTTATCCAGTTGGTTTTTTTTTTTTTTTTTTTTTTTAACAAGATATTTTAAGATAATGCCATACCGTTCCGTATTTTGGACATTTTGAAAAATCGCTCTCTTCTTAGACTAGACATGCCACAAGCCTGTTTAAGGGCTTACAAAGGGAACGTGAGCCTTTTTTTAAGTTTTTAGAGATTGCTTATCAAAAGAGACTGTGGTTAGTGGGACTCCTACCTACTTAGAACATCTAATTGTTTATGACTGAACCAACTCTCAGTGACCAATCTAATTGTTTATACGTCTGACTAGCCAAATATATAAATAATAAAATGGATATAAGTTTTTTTTTTTTTAGTTTTAACGAAAAGTCCGTGGTATTATTCACTTTAATGAAAAACTACATTTTTACACTAAAAAGTCAAACATGATACTATTTACTTTACTCTTTATTTTATTCTTATCGTTAAAACTCAAAAATTTCAATTCATTTTCATTAGTTTTTTTTTTTTTCTTTTTTCCAATGCCAATTGCCAAATATGTTTTCGATCCATCACTGTATGTGTTCAATCACGCAGACGTAGTTTTGCCTCCCACCTCTTTTTGGGGCCACCAATTGTTCCAAGAACGCAATATTTTTATAAGATAGAAAACAATTCTCCATAGTTGGCCATAGTTGGCCATAATAGTAATTGTAATTTACACTCAGAAAAAATAATTATACACTCTAAACATTCTGTATTTAGAAGAAAAAAAATTACTCTTACGTATCATTATATGCTATATTTTTGGTAATCGCTTTGATTCTAAGATCTTGATTTAGTAGAATATTCGTGATTGAATACTAATTTAGGCACTCTCGATAGAGCATATACAAATACACGTTCAGTTACCATCACATCAGAAACTTGTTCCGAAAAGGATGATTATTCCCTTCCAACTATGCTCCAAACTTGATTAATACGTGCTTAAAGGCAACAAAGCACTATCTAATTCGTAATAGGCAACCAGAACAAATCTCAATCATGATAGTCATCCAACTTTCGGCCGATGGGAAACTAGAAAGATTAGCATTCTGTGGAGCCCTTTTGTTAGGAAGAGATCCCCTCTGGATCTTTCCCATCAAAGCCCACCAATCAATTAATCTGGATCTTTGAAATTTGATCCAACGGTTAAAATTATTATAACTTTTAAAGGAATTCCCTATTTGTAGCCGTTAGATCAAATTTCAAAGGTACGGATTAATTGATGGTGGGCTTTGGTGGGAGAGGGAGGGGATCTCTTCCCCTTTTGTCAACCTTGCCTGCTTGTAATTACCCCCACATATATTCCTCGAAGATGAACTACGGCCTCACCTTTTATTTTTATTCCCTTAATCATAAGGGCTATTGTTTTCGGAAAGTACAAAAATGTAATAATCAAGGACGTCCTCACGAAGCGATTCCAAGTATTTCTTAGAAAGTTAGGGGTGTATTTAATTGAAATTTTGAGTGAATTCACTCAAATTTAACAAGAGAAGTTGAATTTATCAAATTCTAATGTAGAATATGAAATTTTCCTAAATCCATCAAATCATTCATTTTAGAAAAAATATTGATAATACACTTAGACTCGTATTCTAATGTAAAGTATGAAATTTTCCTACATCCATCAAATCATTCATTTTATAAAAAATATTGATAATACACTTGGACTCGTACTCTTTAAAAAATCTTTAATTGATACACCCGAATGCATATCATTTTATAAACTATTTTATAATTTCCCAGAACTTTCATAGACCCAAAAACGAAAATAATTAATATTAAATTTTCTAGTGTCACATTTTTCAAAAAAATTAAAGAGAAGGGCTAAGGAAATTACGTGGAACTTTCCATGACGTCTTTATAACTTTATGTTTTTAATACATTATTTTATAATGTTAGCACAAAAATCAAAGTTAAACTATAAAATGACATAATGTCAAAAAAAAAAAAAAAACTCACTTTAAACAAATCTCCTTTAACATTTCTCCAAGAAAATAATTGGAACTTGAGGAAGAGGGCAAGCAAAAGAGGCAGGAGGGAAGAGGTCGCGTTGGTTACAAGCAAAAAGAAAGAACCTTCTGGGATCCTTCGGGGATCAAATTGCAAAACGCGAATAATGCGCACAAAGGTATTTATTTTTGGAGGGTGGAAATCGAATCCCCCAAAAGATACATGCTTTTTTAGCCCCCCATCCATGGCCGTCCTCCTCCTCCTCCTCCAACTCTAAGTATATTCTCAGAGACACATCACAAAATACATACACACATTGTTTGTACTACATAACTGACGCTTTCACAAAGACAACATATATGAGGTTGTCCCTTAAGCTCAACCCACGACAAGTAATCCGAGGTGGTTGTGGTAATCCGAGGTGGCTGTGGTGGTGGTCTTTGAGTCCGAGGATCACTCCCCCACTACCTGTAAATCCGTTAATTTCTCCCTCCTACTCGTCTTCCTTGTCCCGAACGCTAGCGCATCTTTTCGAGAGCCCGGTCATTTTCTTTCAATCCAATCGACGTCAAGAAAAAGCGGTTTTGTTTTTTTGTTGTGCCCATTGTTTTGGGCCCTTGTTTCCGGCAAAAGGCAGCGGGCAGTTGTTTTGCATTTTTTGATATTGTGGGTTGCTCTGCCTCCTCTGTCTGCTGCGGCGAGATTTGTACATGTTTATTTATTGGTGGGAAAGTTGAGAGAATAATAAGACGATGACGATGACGAAGACGAAGGGAAGGATTTCGAGAATTGGAAGCTACGCAATTGCGTCTTCCAAACGAGACGGCCACCACCAACAGCCCTGCATTACCTGCACCACTTTCAACATCCTCGCTCCAATTTACAAGCGCCTCAACCATGACGTTAGCATCTCTCTCTCTTCATTTTTCATTTATTTGGTCAAAAGCTTATGCCTTTTGATTTTGTAGCCGATTCTTTCTCATGGGAAATCTTAGTTTTTGAATTTTATGGTAAACCTTGGAAGTTTGATCCTATTTTTCTACCATTTGGTAATGGAGTTTGTTAATCTTAAGCTTCTCCCTTGTGATGTTCAGGACCCCGATTGTCGGGAAAGCAATTACAGAGCCTATTGGCTGGCCAGGAATCAAAGGATATTGGATTGTTTGTTGGCTGAGAGATCGTCCATCATTTGTCTGCAGGTTTGCATTTCTTACAACATTTTGAAAGCATTAGGGATGGGAGTTGGAGTTGCTACACATTTTTTTGTGGTGTTTATACCTCTCTCTGGTTGGCACAGGAGTTCTGGGTCAGCAACGAAGAGCTTGTTAACATTTACGAGAAGAGACTTGGGGATGCCGGTTATATCAGTCTCAAACTAGGACGAACCAACAACCGTGGCGATGGTACCGTCATCAATTCCTTTAATCCTAGATTCGAGAAAACGAATAAGAAAGAAATGGGGAGATGGGGAAAGACTAACGAAATAAGTTAATTTTGCGATTTTGAATGGAACGAAGAATCTGTTTTGTTGGGGTATAGGATGGAAACTGCTTATACTGTTTTTATAGACACATTAAACATTGTCATCATGAGTTGTTTCTCTTTCTGCTGGTGTTTCAGGTTTGCTGACCGCAGTGCATAAAGACTACTTTAGAGTTGTAAACTATGTAGAGTTGCACTTCAATGATTGTGGTGATCGTGTTGCTCAGTTGTTACATGTGGAATTAGCCACCCCAATTTCGCAGTTTCGAAACAATGATATTCGGCAGGAAATTCTCATTGTGAACACCCACTTGTTATTTCCTCATGACTCGAGTTTGTGTTTAGTTCGACTGCATCAGGTAGCTTCATTCTCGATTTCATACTCTTCCTTTGTATCTACACACCGATAACATTTTCTTAGAGATAACATTTTGTCGGTTTCTCATTGTAGGTCTACAAAATCCTTCAACATGTAGAATCTTATCAGAAAGATAACAAGCTTAATCCCATGCCGATTATACTCTGCGGGTATTTCTAATGCCTTACATTTTGGATTTTTTTTTTCCCTAGTTTTCAAATTGCAGCCATTTGTAATATTTTGTTTCAATCTGTTCTTTCTTCAGTGACTGGAATGGAAGCAAAAGTGGACATGTTTACAAGTTTCTTCGGTCCCAGGGGTTTGTATCTTCTTATGATACTGCTCATCATTACACCGATGCAGATGCACATAAGGTCAGTATCTTCAACTTTACACCTACAATTTCGTTTCTGTATGCCTGTAACTCATGTATTTCATATTTTTGTATGCAGTGGGTTAGCCACAGAAACCATCTGGGAAACATATGCGGCGTTGATTTTATATGGCTTCTCAATCCTGATAGATACCGTAAGCTACTAAAAACTAGTTGGACCGAAGCAGTATTTGGCATGTTCAAGGTCAGCAATACATGTTCATTGCCTGTATACTTTTTTCAGTCACATTGCTGTCCGTTCTGTTTCTAATGGGATAAATTTTCACAATTCAGTACCAACTACGAAGAGCTTCACTGACAGAGGCTGATGCCTTTGCCTTTCTAAAGGCTGATAATCCTGGTGATTACATAACCTCTTCAGGTTTCTGTGAAGCACTTCGACAGGTTCGATCTCAGTTAAAACTAAGATTTTCTCCTTATCTTTTGTCTTGTTCTGAATCTTTGCCTGTTAATAACTTTTCTAATTGGTTAATTGCTATGTTATACAGCTTAATATGACGGGTCATTGCCATGGACTTAGCCTCGAAGAGACAAAGGATTTGTGGGTTCAAGCAGACATAGATGGGAACGGCCTTCTTGATTATATAGAATTTCAGGTAAGTTATTTTCACCAACTATTTCTCATTGTTATTAGTCTAATATACACCACGGAGATTGATTAGTAGTACAGGGAGTTTAAGCTTTTATGTAGGAAAATGCTTTTGCCTTCTGGTGTCAGTGGGCGTAGGTTGTTCGCGCTTGTGGATTTTTACCCCTGCTATTTGGTTTAGAAAACTTCGCCGTTTAAACTTTCATCTATTTTCTGGCACCATTAGACAGTTTTATGACGTTTATGTTACTACTAATGGCATTGCAGCAGCGAATTTGGTATCCTACGGGGTCAGAGCAGAAGGATGAAAGCGGTAGCGACTGTGACAGTGATTCCAAGGGTATTCAGGAACAAACAATTGGTTTCAGTGTCAAAAACGCGGTGCTCTTCCCTCCTGAAGTGGAGAAAGGAACGTGGCCCGAAGATTACTCTCTTTCCGATCATGCACGACTCACAGTGGTTTTCTCACCAATAAGAATGCCTTGCTCTCAGATGGTTCCCTGACAACCGCAAGCTCAGAAGAACATTGGTTTGAGACTTTGTTACATAAGGAACCAAAAACTTGTAAACGGGAAATGGTCAAGGGTTACAGCCAGACCGTGCGGAATGGATGTAAACCAGTTTTCTTCAGCAAAGAGAGTGAAAAGAACTTCGATCGGCATTCCTCCTTTTTAACTGTGCCTGTTCGAAGCTCAATCTTTCGTATCCAAGCGGGCAAACATCAGGAAACTGGCCTTTGATCTAAAAGTTTGCAACCGAATAACCTAACTAGCTTCCGGATTACACATTTGGGCCTTTCCATTGTGCCCATTGATGTGGTGAAAAAAAGAAGGAAGCTAAGAAGGAAGAAAGAGATGTATAGCTGCTGTGCATGTGTAAAAATCCTATAGAGTTCTATAGCTGTCTGTGCATATATATGTAGGCTTGCAGCTATCCCCTACTTGTAATTTTGTAGCAATGGTGAGATGGACCAAATTAGAAGCCCTTTTGTAGCTAACTTTTTCTAATGTTCTGATATAGTGTTACTCTAACCTACTTTAACACGAAGAGGGATTCAAGCTCAAGTGCAATGAGGTGAATACACCGTAATAACTAATTAACCGAACTAACGTCTGCATGATAATCATAAAATAAAGGTAGATTAATTGTTTGACTTTATCATTAGTGACCTTTAGTATAGGCTTAGTCTAGTTGGCTAAAGCAATACGCTACTCTCTCTAAACTCAAGTTAGAAATGTCATAACCAACTGGCTGAACCCATGTCTGCATGACAATCATAAAATAAGTGTGGATTAATCGTTCAACCTTATTGTTTGTGACCTTTTTTAGTATAGACTTAGTCGAGTTGGCTAAAATAATATGCTACTCCCTCTAAACTCAAATTCAAAACGTCTTGTTTTGGACTATGATTCCAGGAACCATTACTTGCGATTAACAAAGCATATAACGAAAGTTTTAATTAGGGAAACAAGTAACAGTTGTTGCCAACCCTAATCTCAACAAGTTTCTCTTTTGTTTTCTTGTATGATGTATCAAGCTATAAAACAACACAAAGTTTACTTCGAAGATCCCCCTACTTTTTGGTCAAATGATAAAGATGATACGTAGCTATCGAACTTAAATATTAATTTCAATACCTTTTTTTGGCTTTTTATCGTGGTATATATATGTGTGTACGTATTTATATAAATTCAATGGAGAAAGATTAAGTGAGACTAATTTTTCGACAATAGTCGTGTGCGAGATACTTATTCTCTCTCTCTCGTGTTGGTGGATCATTACACCAAAAACTCTCCGTCCATCCCTCCTCCACCATTTTTTTTTTAAGAAATATAAAAGAAATTAAATGAAGAAAAAAAAAAGCGGAGGAACTAAGCCAAAACCAAATATCAACGAAACCGATCATATAGACAAAATGATATGTGTGTGGATTTATAAATAGTAAATACTGGATACCAATAAGCAAAATGCTTTGTAATACATGTGTATTATCTGATATGACAAAGAATGTGTACACGTCAATATATAAATTCATCTCACTAAATATTAATTGTATGTAACAATCATCGCATATGATGGGTACACAATTATCTTATATGACGGAATCCAATATGATACAAAAGTACAATCTCTCTAACATTGTTGTTTACGAACCCTGTTGCACATAGCACAATGGAAAAGATTCGCAAGTGATTTCTTCAATACTCGTGCACATGCTAATTAATTAATAAGCCTTTTCAAATCACTTTTCTTTGTGTTCACATTGTCAGTAAATAATAATAATATACATGAAATATAGTTGTGGAATAAAATGAAATCCTAACCGAAAAAGGAAAAACAAACAAAAGTTGGGTGAATATACATAATAAGATTACTTTAATCTTATGAAAAGTTTAAAGTTCAATATTCCCGCACCAATATTGACATACAAGCATAACTAAAGTTCTAGGCCGTATTTTACACGGTATTGTCCTGGGTTTAATTTTTGGTATTATCACATGATGGTAGTCAAGGAAATATTGAAATACCTTTTAGAATCTTCTCGGACTCTCAAAAGATAGAATGCCACAACGAAACTACTGGTCGGTCCCTTTAAAGAAAACTCCCAAAACTCTAGATGACCTATGTGAATATACCACGAACTTCAGGGTTTTTCCAACAACCTTCCCAAACGATGTTCATTGTAAATATCGTGGAATTTGATAGTTCTTTGCCTGGAAATTTGTTTGTTTATGAAGATAACATATAATATTCGACATAAATAAATGCCAATGGCGTCTCTATCACTTCTATTTTATCTATATAATTAATACATTAAACTTAAACTTCATATTTTCCCAATATCCAACATAAAAAATAAATACAACTTGAATTTTACACAAATACACTATTAGCACATAAAATATCCATAGGAAAACCGAACTCGAGGGTGGTACATTCATTTTTTCTTGTTTTGATGCAACGATATATTTATACTAAATTATTTCAAACTCGTCATCCACACGATTTCAACTTAAAAATCTCTCATTTACAAGTAAAAAAGGTATTAGTAGACCATAATATACTTGGTTACATCTATTTACTAGTAAAAAATTACCGCTTAGAAAATAAGGAAAAATATTTCGCACATAATGGTCTCGCGTGTTATGTTACCAGTTTAAGTAAATTCATACGTAAATAACAATAAATGTTGTCCAAACGATAATCAAATACTATACCATATCAAAAAACGCACTACACCGGAAAATAATTCACATTCTCAAAATGTAATTCCGCACATTGTAAAAGAAATCATGTATACTAACTTCCTTAACGACAAAGTATCATCTCACTATCAGTGCATCACAAATCCATCGACAATGGCCGTGTTCATCTAGTCCCCATCAGTCTCTTTTGTCATTTCTCAGGCCACCAAACTTAATTTATTTTAAATATTATTTAGTTTTGTTATACATAAGAACAATTAAATTGTTAAATACAAAAATAAATATATGAAAAATTAGGGTAAAGTTCATAGCAATTTCGTAGCGGGACCGGGCTTCCATGCACAATCCTCCCGCGATACCTTCGTCGCAACGCTTTGTAAATTATCCATAATACCCCTACTATCACTCAAAATCACTTCTCCTACCTAAACGCTCTCTGTTCAGGCACCACTTATTACATACGAACAATGGCACTTTCGAAATTATGAGGCATTAAATACCCCTGTTAGTTTTCTCGGACGCGGTATTACGTGGAATTTAAACGCGGGTTGGTAGACTCGGTAAATATATATAAACTGTGTCTCTGTCTCTCTCTCTCTCGTCTCTCAGTAGTCTCTCACCTTTCTTCTTTACTCTCTGCTGAAAGAAAAAAAAATCTAGAGAGAGAAAGGTGGTCCACATCTGATATCAGAACACCAAAATCTCCATTCCGAATTCGATAATCTGTCCGATTCCTCGGTTTTTCTTTTGGGTTTCTGGTAAAAAGTTTTAGGTTCTTGAAAAAAGCTAGATTTTTTGGTTTTTGTTCACTCTCTCTGTCTCTCTGTTTCTCTCTCTAGAGTTGCGGTGAATGCTGGTGGCGGATATGGAGACGCTGTCGATGGATAGTCTGCCACTGGGGTTCAGATTTCGGCCAACGGACGAGGAGTTGATCGATTATTATTTGAGGTCGAAAATCAATGGCAATCATGGACAAGTGGCTGTTATTCGTGAGATTGATGTTTGCAAATGGGAGCCCTGGGATTTGCCTGGTATTAAATTGTCTTTCTTTTCACATTTTTCTGATAATCTCTTAGCTCTCCATTAGTGTGTTATTTAGTTGTTAAATTCACTATTTAGTTTCCATTTCGTTGTAATTAAGCTGGGATTTTGTTGGATTATTGAAACTTTGGGAAAGTTATGAACTTTTTGTAGCAGCAAGTTCTTGATTTTCTCACCAATTATCTAACTTGAGGGTCTTCAATTTTTGGGTTTTGTTTCTGCTCAATGTTTAAGCTTATTTATGCTGCAGATTTATCAGTGACTTTTTAACAATATGTACTCTTTCTGTTGGGGTTTTTTGATAGAATGTGGTAAAAAAATGCTTAAACTTTGCTCATGATTATCGGCTTGTCGTAAAAACAATCCATTAATGTCTTATTGGGTTGTAATTAGGCAGGGAATTTGATGAATTGGTGTAACTTGGGGAAAATTATCAACTTTTGGTGGCAACAACTTGTTTTTCTCACCAATTACATATTTTTGGGGTTTTCAGTTTTGTATATTTTTGCTCAATGTTATGTTTATGTTGTGCTGCAGGTTTATCAGTGATACAGACAACCGATCCGGAGTGGTTCTTCTTCTGTCCACAGGACAGAAAGTACCCAAATGGGCACAGGTTGAACAGGGCTACAATTAAAGGGTATTGGAAGGCCACTGGAAAAGATCGTCAAATCAAGTCGGACAAAATCTTGATTGGAATGAAAAAGACATTGGTCTTCCATACCGGGCGTGCTCCCAAGGGTAAGAGGACGAATTGGGTTATGCACGAGTATCGTACGACACAGAAGGAGCTTGATGGCACAAATCCAGGCCAGGTCGGTTTTCTCTTCAACTTTTATTTTGCTTCTTACTTCCTAGTTGTCTGATTACTTAGTTTATGATATTTAATTGATTCTATGAGCACATTTGGACACCAAAGTCTTGAAAATTCGTGGTTTGTGCAATCGGTTTAAGTGTGTGTATAATTTAGTCAAACTCTATTACTTAGTGGAGTTTTAGTTTTAGTGAAATATCGTATAACTGGTTTGAGTAAAATGGATGGATTGGATGTCTTATCTTAACTGATAGAAAAAATGATGTTCATTTCTTGGTAATTAGGAAGGGGTTTTTTTTTTTTTCTTCGTATGTATGACATAGTTACCAAGTGTTATTGAGAAAGTGATAAATCTCAATCTTCAATAGAGTCTCTTTGCATGGAAATAAGTTATGTTTTTCAATTCAAGTTATTTAATTGGTCTGCGTGCGCGTTTGTATATTGCATTTTCGTAGGCCTCCGAAACACATATGCTCAGATCACTGACTGGCAATATAAAATGACTAAACTTTCAATTACTAATCAGATGTTATGTCCATGTTATTATGCAGAGTTCCTTTGTCCTTTGTCGCCTGTTTAAAAAACAAGATGAGACTATCGAAGATTCAAACTTCGATGAAGCGGAACCTACTGTTTCATCCTCCACCGCTGCCCTATCTTCTCCTCAAGACGTACAGTCTGATCATGCACCGCTTCCAACATCACCATCTCTTGAAAGGCAAGATGAAAGGCCTCTTACCAAAGTCGAATGCACCTCTGCTGATAATTGTAATGCGATGGGATCAGACACTCTACCGCCTCTACCACCTATTGAGTTCCCTAGCAACAACTGTAGTGGTTATGATGCAGAAGATCAACTGCATATGCCGCTGGGGGAATTAAACATGTTTTATGATCACCCACAAGAGCCACTTTTTTCTCCATTGCACTCGCAGATGCACGCAGAGCTCGGTTACTATGGCAGGAATGACTTTAGCCCCCCTGATGACCAAGACACATATGTATGTGAGTTCTTGAGCTCAATTTTCAACAGTTCAGGGGAGCAGATTGATGTTGATGGAAGAGCAGCTGAATTACCGGTGAGTAGAAGATTTCATGTTACATTTTAACTTCAAGTAAAAATCGTATTCTTAAGGCTTGCCTCCCAACTTGCAGTTGTACATATCTGCAGCATTCTGTGTCATGTTCTTTTAAATATGTTTCTCTAGAAAATTAAAGTTTCGCTGATCTCATTTCATACAGTTCGAGCCAGAGCTTCAAAATCCTGTTCAGCCTGAGGGGAATATTGACAGAAATGGTCCATCACCGTTGATGTCAATTCCAGAAAATTATGGTAAGTCTTTTTTAGTATTAACATGGATGAGTGTAAGAGATATGTGGATGGTGTTCTAGATGAATGTTATTAACGGAATGCTTCTCCATTTGGTTTTTGCTGCAGGCCAATCCTCAAGGTCTCAGGTAACAAGCAATCATTTGAATGCAATGATCAATTGCGATGCTGCTCATTTGAATGCAATTATCAGTCGTGATGCTGGAACTGAAATCAGGCTTAGGCCTCGCCAAACACAAAATCCGACTAGCGCAGAGAGCTTTGTGACACAAGGTGATGCGAATAGAAGATTACTGATTTTGACTAAATTTCTGCAACTCAAATGCAGCAGTAGACCAGAAGACAGAGAAATAAAACCAATAGCCATGGAGGTGAGAAGTTTGTGAAGCACAAATAATGTCGAAATTTGATGACATATGTTCGGGGGTTGGTAATGAGTTTAACGCTGTTTGCAGGAGATAAGCAATAACAAAAAGAAACCTATTGGTGCTGTTGCTACTGATGTTATTAGTGCTGACATTGATCTACCAGAAAAAGGAACCGTGCCCACAAGACCAAACTTGACTACGGAGGGCAGAATTGTTACCGGCAAAAGGGTGCCTTCTCTGTTCTTTAAGGCCTCTCCCGCCGGTCAATCTATGTGGTCCTTTGCCTTTCTCTTTAGGGTAGTTGTGGTTGCATGCTGGTTCATAATCTTGATAGCTTATGGGGATTTCATTAGTTTTGAAGCCGTCGGAAGACCCTTCGCGGCCTAGCATGCTGCCTAAACCCCACTTTTTAGGGGCTTGTTTAAATTTTGTGAGGCTAAACACAGGATAGATTTTATAGGTTCAGAGTCCTCGTGTGATTATGTACAGCAGCTAACAATTTTATCAGAAATTGTTCTTTTTTCTGTGAACTTATATCCTTCGTGCAATCGACATATGTAATTCACTGAAAAAAACTAACCTACGTTGAAATGTGACAAATGTGATTGTGATGGTATGTCACATATACGATGCACTGTCAAACCCTTAAACTCCACGTCAATCACGAGGTGTTGTATATTTTAACTTCCTCATGTGACTATGTACATTTTTAACTTCCACGTACGACCGTTTGTATTTGTTTGGATACCGCCAACCACAGTGATTGTTTTGCTACAGTCGTCAAACTTTGTAAGTTAATATGTAAAAAGGAAATTAATAAAAATAGCTTAAACTTTGTGCTTTAACGAAAATGACAAAATAACGAATAAAGTGAATAATACCAGTATTAATTTTTTAATATAAAAATATAATTTTTCATTAAAATAAATAATAAAGTTTCCGTATATAAATTGCTCGTTGTGCCCGTCCTTCCCTTGTAGTCAACCCCTTCTGGTTCTGCAACTGTTGACTTGCATCTCCGCAATTCCGTAAACAAACAGATATGCGTTCTTGTTCGATTGCCAATTTCCTCTTCGTTTTACTACTCTTACTCACTTCTCTTTCTCTTGGTACACCCCATGGCGCTCCTGATCAAACCCACTACGCAAAAGAGCTTCTGAGCGCAGCCCAGCAGGATAAAAACTGGTTAATCTCCATAAGAAGGCAAATCCATGAAAACCCAGAACTCAAATTCCAAGAGCACAACACCAGCGCTCTTCTGCGCAGAGAACTCGATCGGCTCGGCATCCCTTACAACTACCCAATTGCCCAAACCGGAATTGTTGCAGAAATCGGGTCCGGTTCGGGCCCCGTTGTTGCTCTTCGAGCCGACATGGACGCCCTGCCGTTGCAAGTAATATCCGGGAACTTCTTGTTTTTTTGTTTTGATTCTCTGAGGAAGTTGTCTTTAATTTATTGTGAATTTTAAGGTTTAGCTTTTGGTGGATTTTGTGGTGGTGGTGGTGATGTGTAGGAGCTTGTGGAGTGGGAGCACAAGAGTAAGGTTGATGGGAAAATGCACGGCTGTGGACATGATGCTCACACCACCATGCTTCTTGGCGCTGCTAAGTTGCTTAGTCAACGAAAAGATAAACTTAAGGTTAGTTTTACGTTTTAGCAGATGTGGATTAGGTCAATTTAACCTTTGAAAAGGTAGAATACCCCTTTCCGTACATTGTTTAGAATATAAAAATGGTCAGCTACGTTTTATGTTTTGCAGCGAAGTGAATGTGCATTTTGAGGTTCTGAGTTAAAAGTTTCAATTTTTCTGTTGAGAGCATAACTTTTTGAACATGGGTTATGCCGATTGGCAAGGCAGTGTTCTTGCCCCGTTGCATATAAGTTCGAATCCTCTTTCCTGTTAATTAGGGTAGTGTAGAATATTTATCTTGTAAAAGCAATTCAGTGAGGTTTTATGTCGTGCAACAAAGTGAATGCGAATTTGAGATTCTGAGTTCAAAGTTTCAATCGTTCTGTTGAGACCATAATTCTCAGCAATGAAAAATTGCAATATTGTGATACAATGAGAAAATTTTGCCTAAAACTTTCTTACATATGGTGGTGTTGAAGGGAACTGTGAGACTTCTTTTTCAACCTGGTGAGGAGGGAGGTGCCGGCGCCTCCAAAATGATAAAAGGAGGTGCTCTTGGTGAAGCTGAAGCGATATTTGGGATGCATGTTGATTATACAATACCCACAGGAACTGTAGCATCGATTGCAGGACCGCTCTTAGCTGCTGTTTCCATGTTTGAAGCCAAAATAGTCGGGATAGGCGGGCATGCTGCAGAACCCCACAATACTGCTGATCCAATACTTGCTGCCTCATTTGCAATTTTGGCGTTGCAACAGCTCATCTCAAGAGAAACTGATCCCCTCCATAGCCAAGTACGTGCCTTTAAAAGAAGAAGAGATTTTTTTTATTATTATTTTTTTTCTGGTGATATCGTAGCTTTAGTTTCATCGCAATTTCCATTGTCTGTCAAACTGATCCCTCATTGTTTTATCATTTTGGTAAACTTTAAAGTTGTTTTGGGTATGAAAGAACTACGCATATAGAAGGAAAAATAACATAAAAGGTTCCACTGCAGCGTATTGCTAACAGCTAGTTTTCTGCGCTGAAGGTCCTATCTGTTACTTATGTTAGAGGTGGGACTGCATCGAATGTAATTCCATCGTATGTTGTATTTGGGGGCACTTTGAGGAGTCTTACAACTGAAGGCTTGTACTTACTCAGGAGGCGATTGAAAGAGGTAAACGACATACGTTGTTCTTTAACCTTGTTCCATCAGACAGTTAGACTTAGTAGAAATAATGCCGGATGTTTCTTTCATCACTCATCAGTAAATAGGTAGACTATCAACTAGCTTGTTTTGAAAGAACAAAGAAATAAACGAGTAAAGCATTCGGTTCATAAATTGGGATTTCTTGCAGGTTATTGAAGGACAGGCAGCCGTGCATAGATGTAACGCATATGTTGACACGAAAGATGAAGAATACCCACCATTGCCTGCTGTTGTCAACGATGAAAGCTTGCATATGCAGGCACAGAGGGTTGGAAAACTTTTGCTTGGTCCCGAGAATGTGAAGTTGTGCGAGAAAGTGATGGCAGGTGAAGACTTTGCCTTCTATCAGCAGTTTATTCCTGGAATCATGCTTAGCATTGGAATTGGAAATGAGGAAGTGGGTTCAGTTCACTCGCCGCACTCGCCTTACTTCTTTCTTGATGAGGATGTGCTTCCGATTGGGGCAGCATTACACGCTGCCTTGGCGGAGAGTTATTTGGACGAGCACCAACATTCTGTACACGCTGAAATTTAAGTGCGATTGGAGAAGCCTTGATGGTTGCATACTGTCATGGAGAAATTTATAAATAACATAAAAGAAATAACTTTTGTGAAATGTGAATGTGCAAATAGTTTGTAACTTGCTTAGTTAATTAAGAATTTGACCTTACATTCGAAGTCCTGGGTTTGATTCTCCTTCCCAATCTTTGAGCTCATATAGATGGATTAAAAAACCATTCCTTAGTCCATGTAAACTCCCAAAGTATCCCCATAAACAGTTGCCATGGATCCATGATTATAAGTTTGATTTATTTTAAAGATGGTGTTTGGTTTAATCAAGTTTGCTGACTTTTAGGTCTTTTGTTGGTGGATGTAGAAGGAAGACACTGCATTTGTACACTAATCTACACTAGGGGAGGGGGACGGTTTGACCCAAGATGTATTGGGTTGGATAGGAGGCCTTATTCATCGGGGCAATTCGTAATTGCATATTGAATGTTTTAAAGCACAAAATACATTATGAAATCTTTCCAAATCCAATAACATTCATATCTTTTAAAATAATTTAAAATCAAATTCTGATTTATTACACCTGCACTTTTACAGACATTTAAAATTCTAAATAAATTCTCCTAAATTTTTATTTTCTTTAAAATTCTAATTGAATATCGAATTTTAACACTTTCAAAATCTCTATTAAATATACAACTAAAAAAAAGGGGTTTTTTGAAATGGGTCTAAAGTAACTAAAAATTAGACCTATTTCAAAAGTCAAAAGTTACTAAAAATTGGATCTATTTCAAATTTTTCCTAAAAATAATGATAATGCTCTAATATTTATATGTTTATGGGATCATTAGATCAGGTGAATTTTGCACTAGAAACAACTCAATCCAAAAATAATTGGGTGGTTTTGACATTAAAAAAAAAAAAAAACATAATTGGGTGGTTGATTGTGATTACTTTACTAACTAAGCCAAGCAATCGTCTAGATTCTTCTAACCGCCCATCATTCATGCATTGGACCGCACTTTTGTGCTTTGATTAAACAGAATCTCTTCCCTAATTGATGCATAAACTTTTTTAGAGGACAAATCATTCTCCCCTACGTAACCTAATATTTCCAACTTTTTATTGATAATGGTTAGAAGATAATCAAAGAGGTCAACCTAAATTGTATTTGGACTGCCTTCTTTTTGGCTGATTAAACTTTAATTAAGGAGCTGCATGAGGCCGTAGACTGGAAAGATTATGTTGTTGGTTGGTGAAATTTGTTTGTTTTTGATTATTTTTAAGGAAAATTAATAAAAATGATTTGAAAATTTTGAGTTTTAACGATAATGACAAAATAAAAGGTAAAGTGAATAATACCAGGATTGATTTTTTAATGTAAAAATATTATTTTTTTTGTTAAAGTAAATAGTACTAGAAGCTTTTCGTTAAAGTTTCTTTATTTTTAGCAGTTGTGAAATCAGTCACCAAACTTTTCCGCTGGGAAGGGACTTCTGTTGCTGTTACTGATGCTGTTGCTGTTGCTGACTCACTACCACGTGTGACCACCATGCATGCATGGTAAGTTGGGTCTCCTCTTTCTGAATGTTGGTGCGAAAGAAAAGATTGATATCTTCTTTTTCTTCAAAGTTTCTGTATTTAACTTTGGGAAAACAAACCTAACAAGGGAATGGAGAATCAGCAGTTTTCAGCTTTCCTTAATTTCAAAAGCTTGGTTGGCATTTGATTTGATAGAAGTAGATATATGAACCAAAATGGATAATTATATGCACCAAACTCATATATATATATATATATATATATATATATATATATATATATATATATATATATACACTTCACCTACCGTAAGGCTATAATTATATCCATTTAGTTGCAGTTTGGTAAAGTTGTATGGTGAAATAGGTGTAATGTTTAAGAGTGTTGTGATCTTGTTACGTGATATTATAAATTTACTCATGTAATTGTATATTATTCATCAATATTATACTCCAAGTCCATGACATATCAACCCTCTTATTTATCACTGTCATTTGATAAGTTGCTAGGTGAAATAGGAGTAATGTTGTTTTCAGGCTTCCAAATATTACATGTTCACTCATATGCGTCAACAATCTGTATTTCATATAACAATAGAGAATCACACTCAAACGTTTGTCGTGAAATAACCATGCCCGTCACTCTCTTGGTGCATGGAAGTGAGAACTTTTTGAATATTCAGCAAAGAGAAAGAGAGAAAGAAGCGTTTTCAATAACCTGAAGAAACATCGATCAAAAGAAAGAAAATTTGACAAAGATTAAAGAGAGGACTAAGCTTTGTGATATGGAGGAGGCAACCCATGTGAGATCAACTTTACTATAGCTGGCTCGTGTGTGTGTATATATATATTTTATTTGGAAATAACACGAAAACTTAGAATGCAAAATTTCGCATCCCCACGCTTCATACATCCCAACTCAGTTATGTATGATTCATGAAAATTGGAACTCTCTTTGCTTAATTAGGAGGTTTGTTTAAGAGTTTAAAACACTTCGATTAGTTTAAATCATCGTTTCCTCTATCTGCACGTAGCTTAATTTATTCTTATTTCTTCCTACAGTTAATGGCTAAATTAATTAGGACCACCAAGAAAGTTGGTCATCATATATGGTCTAACTACAGTAATGAAACATGCAGAACAGCTGATACCCAGAATAGTGTACATACATTTACTTGTTTAATTTGATCGTCCCAAGTAAGGCACGATCATCGAGTCTTATGTTAGGTCTGGAGGCTTGTCTCTAATCAGAAAGTTAAGCGATTTTTATGTCCAAGCATGTTTAAGTGTCGTCATATGTGAGGGGCACGTGTAGGTGTGGAGCAATGTCTCTCATTGAAAATTTAAGTGACCTTGCATATTCTTATAAGAACTACAACTTGCTTTAGATTATCAGTGAAGCAGCACATAAATAGACAATCAAACGGTGATAATGAATGATTTATCATGCTGTACCAGATTACCTATAACTGTTATGTCATGTGTTAATTTTTTTTCAAAATAGTACTGCGTAATTAGTTTGTAATAAAAAATTCTCCTTGTGTGAAATTTACTCAGCTCTTTGAATAAGTTGTTTAAGGACCAAGGTATCCAGGTTGTCCAAATGAGACTAAAACGGTTACACATGTACACTTCACCACCTTTGTCATGAAAAATCCACCAGTCGGTGGGTCATGGAATTATTATCCTTTTTTTTCTTCAAGTGGTTATCTTTTCCTCTCATTCTTTTTCTTTCCATCTCCTCTCTATCTATTCACCTCTCCCTGCTGCTCTATAAATCTGCCAAATCTGCTCCACTGGTATCTCCTTTCTCTTTTTCTACCTTCTCTGCCATGGAGATTCGAACAAGAGTTCAAAAAGAAACATTATATTAAGAGCTCCCTTTTGTATAATTTATTGGCTTTGCATGTGCTGTAGAGTAACACACTCACTTTATATTCTAACGTCCATCCATCATACTCTCCCATCAGCTCACTCCTCTCACCGGCTTATAAATTAACACCCTCTTCTCTTCTAGCCTTCTCCCCTTCTTTCTCTCTATCTTCTGCTCTTACATTTTTCTGTCCAATTTCGGGGAACTCAAAGTTCATACTCATAATTCAGTAAGATAACAAATGGGTGAAGAGGCTAAGCAGGTTAGTGGATTGCATTAATGTTTTCTAATTGGCTTGTATGGATCTGCATGAGTTTGTTGTAACAACACTGTTTGGCTTCTTTACGAAAGATGTCGTTTCTCGTTTCTGCAAATAACAATTTGATATAAGTTGAAATTAATAAGTTATCAAAAACACAAAACAAATATTTTTACACACACGTAAAACTGTGAAATGTAATGCTTATCAACTCTTTGTCGTTGGATAGGAACAAGCTAAGGCAGAGCCTAAGCCAGAGGAGAAGGCCGAGGAGAAAGTAGAGGAAAAGAAAGAAGAAGAGGAGAAAAAGGAAGAGCCAAAGCCTCCTTCTCCCTTCGTGTTGTTAGTAGACTTGCATTGTGTGGGATGTGCAAAGAAGATTGAGAGGTCCATCATGAAAATTAGAGGTACTTCCTCTCATTCTCCCACCTCTCTCTCTCTCTCTCTCTCTCTCTCTCTCTCTCTCTCTCTCTCTCTCTCACACTTACTAGAGGAACTTCTTTACGACAAAGATAGGACTCTGGCGGTAACTTAAGCCTATTACACAGTCTCACCCCGTTGGAAATTTTTTATTTTTACTCTATGTTTATAGTTGGTATGCATGGTTATTACAATTTGTTTTTTAAAATGCAGGAGTGGAGGGGGTTGTGACAGATATGGCTAAAAATGAAGTGACCATAAAGGGAATAGTGGAGCCTCAGGCAGTGTGTAATAAAATCATGAAGAAAACCAAGAGAAAAGCAAAAGTCTTGTCCCCATTACCAGCTGCTGAAGGTGAACCTATTCCAGAAGTTGTTGCCTCACAGGTCCAACCGAAACCTTATTAATCAAAATTAATCAAATCACATTGAAGAAAATTAAACTACATTTGTTAAAACAGTGAACTTATAAGGGTGGTTTCTTATTGCTTCAGGTTAGTGGACTTGTAAATGTAGAACTCGAAGTTAACATGCACTGTGAGGCCTGTGCAGAGCAACTCAAGAAAAAGATACTCAAACTCAGAGGTATATATCCTCGTTTTTTCTTCTCTTTATATTTGAGTTAAACCGAATTATAAACTGTACCCTTTGTATGAATTACAACTAATGTGGGTTAAATTCGTGGTACGACTATCACACCTTCATGTGACAGTGTTAATCACACTGAAAAATTACTCAAAAAATTACTTTGGCGTAGAGTGTAGTTTACAATGTCATAGCACATTGTGCCATTTTCTGAAATGACAAATAAAAATGGGAAGTGCCAAAATATTACTTCAAATAAGGGAGAGACTTTTCAATGTGACCGGTACACGGGATGATACATCACGTGTCACTATACAAATAATGGGATGTGTGCTAAAAAGTTAATAACTTAAAAAATAAAATTTTCCACCATTCCTATTAAAACACGTGGTGTACCACTTATGGTCCCGTCATAATTAAAAATTTCTCCACATAAGGGTTCATTCTGACCTAAAACTACAAAATTTTGGGTCCTGTCTGACGTGGTCCAATAGTTTAGATGCGACTTAAACAAAAAATTGTACAAAGCTCCTTTTCTATGTTTCCAATAATTGGGGCTATCTATCCAGCTCATTTTGTATGTAAAATCCACTAGCTTTCAAGTTTTTCGATAGCTTTCAATATATATATGATTGCTTGAGATAAAAGAAAATCTCTTTGCGCGGTGTATTGTCTGTTAAACTAATTGATAAATTAATTACTGCAGGAGTGCAAAGTGCTGTGACTGATCATAGTAGCGGGAAGGTGATGGTGACAGGGACCATGGACGGGGACAAGCTAGTAGAGTATGTGTATAGACGAACCAAGAAGCAAGCCCGAATAGTCCCACAACCCGAGCCCGAACCCGAGAAGAAAGAAGATGAGAAGCCAGCTGCAGAAGAAGCAAAACCCGAAGAGGAGAAGAAAGAAGAAAATGCAGGGAAAAAAGAAGAGGATAAACCGGCAGAAGGGGAGGGAAAGAAAGAAGAGGGCGGAGCTGACGGCGGAGAAAGTAATAATAAGGAGGAGGAGAAAGGTGGCGAGGAGAACAAGGAAGAGGGGAAGAAGGTGGAAGAGATGATGAGTGGCAGTTACGTAAATAGTGGCACGGATGAGGAACAGATGAAAAGAATGATGCAGTACTATTATCAACCTCTTTACGTGATTGAGAGAATCCCACCTCCTCAGCTGTTCAGTGATGAGAATCCCAATGCATGTTGCATTTCATGAACAACTTGATCACGATCAATAATCCTTCAATATTCCATAATAACAGTGTATTAAAATGTTATTATGTTACTTAATTATGTAATTTATATATAAAAGTGCCACCGCTCGTGACCAGAATTTTAGACAAGTTTTGAGTTGATTTGGTGGATATGGTACCAAGTGGAATAAATATAATATATGTTTCCTACAAATTGATAATAAGATATTTAGTTAATCATTTTGTTATCATATTATATAGTTGCTTATTCACGTTTTATAAAATGTAAATGAACTATATAAATACATAATAAAATAGGTACACAAGCATATTGTAGGAAGAATAAATTTCTGGTATTTGTAAACGTGCAAGGCGGCACAAAGGGTTAGCTTTAGTTACGTAAAAGTTGGCCTTTTAAGCTATTTTAAGTAAAAAATTAAATATGTATGTTTGAAATAATAACGTCACGTGATCTATTTCAAATACATCACAAATCACTCGCTCAAAAAATTGAACCAGGTCAAGCAAATGCTGGAACAACCAAAGCAAGTGAACAAGAATTACACAAGATTTGTGTGCTATTTTTTCATGCATGTAGCACATGTTAATATCATACAGTTAGATCATGTCTCATGAGATGCCCTCTTAAGTGAAAACTACACACGAAATGGATTAGAGGAACATAAATGCTAATCAAACTCTCTCAAAATGAGATTCTTTATTAACTCTATGTAACCTCACAATTTAACGTTCATATATATACCAACATTATAAAATGAATATTAAAACATAAAATGATAGAAAATCAGTCTCACTTTTAAGTCTCCTTACCATTTTTATTAGAGGAAATAGTTTCTGACTCGTGAATATTCGGTTCATGATGACTAACGAATGTTTTTTGTTGCAATCATTTGTCTTCGGTTTACAAATTAATCAAGGTTGTAATGCCAACATATGATCTAATCTTTTTATCCATTAATTAACGTTATTAAATCCAAAAATCAGGTTTTGTGTTTGTGCATGTCACATGTAATATGGATAAGTCGTTAACAGGAAACAAATCTGATTGGGGCCGTCGAGATTCCCTGAGATAAAAACAGAGGTGTGGTGTGGGTTTCACATGGTGGCCTCCAACTTTTAGTACTTGAAATCCGAGTCACCAGGGCATCACGTTAAAAGAGAGCCATGAGCGGGACCCACAATCAAATACTCTAGCGTGGCAGAGACGGTGATGCCATCGCACCTGTCTATTTGTCGTTTTGTCGCATTCACAAAACAAGCCTAACAATGCACGCACCCGCCATGGCCGACCGATGCATGTCATTTGCTTCTCAAAAGTGGAAGACATACAACGTGAGCTCCGTCGGATAGCCAAAAGGCCGAAGGAGGAGGAAATGTTGTGATTGCATAACTCAAAGCAATCGTCCCCTCTGTGTGAGAGGAGTAGGATTTTCTCTGCTACTTCAAATTCTCCTTTTTCTGATTTCTTTCACACTTTTTTTGGTTTATAAAAAATTCAACACAAAATGTTAGCTTAATCGTAATTATTCGAATAAAAAGAAAAGAAAGAGGAGATGAATTCGGAGTGAGAGAATCTTAATTCGAAATACTATGCTCGACTAACAATATGTTTTAGTTAATATCAAACACTAGTTATGTAAGCCACAGACGATTATATTGATATATTTTGTAATCTTACCAAACAAAATACTTCTCCTTTTATAATTCATGTAGGGAACGTAAATAGTATCCTTGTTCAATATATATTACGTAGCGGAAAATTAAGCCCCAATGCAAAATATAACAAATCCCCAAACAAATTAGGCTTTGAAATTTTCTTCCCTTAACTCTCTATACATATTTGGTTCAATATAGTCGACCTAAATTACATAGACTCTTGAGAAACCAAACTTATTATATAATAACGCACGGTAATTAAGGAAAAAAAATAGTTAAAAAACAAAGTGTACATTAGAAGTCAGAAGCTAAAGCCTGAAAGATGATTAAAGCATCAATGAAAATTAAAACTTTAAAACTTCAGAAGCTACTTTTTTCACTCGAAATAAAGCAAACGTACCTTAACTTCTTGATTATTCTCAACGCAACTAAACAAAGTAGCTAGAAAACCACTTTTACTGTGGGACTAGCCTAGCTAGTATGGTTATATCCAGTGTTTTTCAATATTGGTACTTTCTAGACTTTTAGGCATTTGAGGGATATTAGGGTTCATCTGTTCTGGTACGATCAAGAAATTAAAAAATAAAACTTGCATGCATGTGCATGGCGGCATAACCAATAAGAGCGCAAAATGATGACATGGTGCCGTGAGTACGAATGTTTATCTCGAGAGGAATTACATGATTGAGAGATGTTAAATTAATCAGGATTAAGATAATTAATAATTAAAAGTAGTATTGTTGAAAGTTCCAAAGTCTGAAAGCCAAACTTGGTTGATAAGGAAAACAAGCCACATGGGAGTCATAATCTGAAAACTATATAAAACTGAACGACCAGCACATATGCATGCATGCATGAAAAGGAGATAAACACACGCACACACACAATGCACTTTTTTTGTATATCCAAGCGCTGCTGACACATCCTTCCAATATCCAAACCAAGATTTTCTCTAATCAGTGTATCTTTAATAATCTTTAATCAGGAATATTATTGCTTAATAATCTTTAATCATACGAACTGGTCAATCAGCAGCCGTGCATGGTAAAGCTTAAACATAACCATGATAAAAAAAAAAAAAAACACACTCGATCAGCCTAGCTATACCCTTCTTTTGTAAAGATGTCCAGGAATACTTAGCTGAGGACGTCGACCTCCTACAATGTCTAGTAACTTAATCCTATATAAAGCCTTGAAAATGTGATGATACATAGAGATAAACAATAAGGGGAACATCTCAAAAGAACCATGCAAGAACAACAGGAACAACAATCTCTTGCATGCATGCATACATCTTGAAGCTTTATATAATTAAATTAGAGTTTGGATTTCGATATGGCCGATATGCAAATTGTTCCTGCCTGCAGAAACGTAGAGGCGCAGTATGTGGAGATGATGGTTCCTCTCTATTCTCATGGATGTGAGAAGAAAATAAAGAAGACCCTCTCCTATCTCAAAGGTAAACTATACCTCTCTATACGTACATATTATGATATATTGCTAAGCGCCACCATTGTCGATATTTTTCTCAGGTATTTCAGTTGGAAGTCATAGCACATATAAATCTAAAGTACAAATAGTTTCTTACATTTTCTTCAACCTAACAATGCAACATTGCAAGGTGGTCAGTCCCCTCAAGTTTCATGTTTTAATTTGGTTGTGTTGTGTGTGCCCGCCTCGGTCATGAGTGAGACATTATAGTAGCAGTCGTTTAGTTTGACTAGGTCTGATATCCTAGGCCCTTCGCAAAATTGAAGCCTGAAATTAGATAATTTTTGTGGGCCTGTGGCTATACATTAGGGTTTTCACTCATTTTACAGTCTGGGTTGGTCCAGTTGGGGTATTAAGCAGAAGTAAAAGTGTGAACTAAACCCTAACTAATGTTGTGTTGTAACAATATTTATACGTACGTGCAGGGATATACTCAGTGAAGGTGAATTATAACGAACAAAAGGTGACGGTATGGGGAATATGCAACAAATACGATGTGCTTGCAACCGTAAGGAGCAAGAGAAAACACGCATGTTTTTGGAACCCTAAAGACAATATCGCCTTAGAAGATCAATCACCAGAACCACCAGCGGTGACAATACCACCACCTTCCTCTCCTTCTCCTATTCATAATAGTTCAAGTGGTAAATACACAAAGCCTTCTTTGGCTCTGATTAGGGTTCGATCTTTGAGCTGGAAAGCATGGACTCCATGGAAGAAAGTTTTCAATAGGTCTTATTCATTACCCTCAAGGATGAAGCTCAACGTTAATTGATTATATACAACGATCGATAAGAAAATGTAAAAGAAGATAATGCTTGCTGCCTTCCTCTTGTTGCAATTTGGATTAGATAACTACCATGTACTTTAGTTGTGTGGAATTTAATCATCTGCCAGTAGAAGCTGGTATTGTATAATTACCGCTAAAGCTTAGTTATCCCTCTACTTGAGATAGAGAGTTAAAATAAGTATACACTCGTGATAACACACCCAAAATAAGAAGACCGAGTCAAATCGATATGTAAAAATCTCACTGTAGTGGTTCGTAAACCAGACTTCCTCCATTGATCGGCATCCTCTCACTCTGGTAGTCAAAAGAAATTGGGTACTGGTCTTATCTATCCCCTCTTTCTCTTTATATTCAAAATTATTTGGCACGATTTGACAAGTTTATTCCCTGTTAACTCTTTGGTAGGGTAAGCATGATGATCATGTGCCCATATAGTTACCAATTTACTGCAATTCAGAATTGTAATACTACCTAAATAAAATGACATATGCATGTACAAATGCACGAAAATCACATATGTTAAGTTAGATACTTGTGGGAAAGCAACAAAAAGCAGAACCACATGGCATTTTCCTCATTTTCCCCTGCTGATTTGATGCGAATTCTCAAGCATAAAAATATGGTTAGTACACAAAAACTTTTCTAACTTTTAAGCCACTTCACGCCCATCCATCCAAAACCCTCCACTGGGTTCTTGCCACATCAGCCAACAAAAAGTGGTGAGGTGAGTACAAACAAAAGTCTTATAACCAGGCGAACAAAACGTGATTAATACCACTCTAATCATTAAAATTTACGCCTAAGCTGACCAGAAATGTGATTACCGTGTACGTAATCTGGGTGAAGAAGTCTCACCATATGGTAATTTTCGTCCATAATCCACATTATGCCTAACTCGATCGGAAAATAAATAGAAGATACCAGAAAGTTGAAAATCCAACCAGAGATAAAATATAATCTGTATGCATAATCTACATGGATTTATATGCATTTTTTGCCGTCACCTCACCTGATATCCATTACCTTTAAAATCAAATTTGGCTAAATAAAACCCACACGTTACACCAACTAAAAGGTATATGTAAAGTCACCAACCATCTACGACTTTGAAACAAAGCTTTGAAGGCGGTAATTGCTAACTATATAGCTACCTACCAATCAATACCTCTCTCTCCCTCTCCCTCAGTAGCCGCTCTCGCTCTCTTGAACGGAGGCTCTACAATTTGCGGGGGTGAGAAAATAAATTATAAAAGAAGGGATGATAAGGGTAGGCATTGTTGCAGAGCTGCTAGGGTTATACACGGCAGCCCTTGCGAGGATGGCGGAGGAGCTCGTACCAGCAAGGCGGCACAATACCAGTTTTCGTGGTCTCGTGAATAATCTTCGTCTAGCTTCTCGGCCGGCCTCCACTTACGACGCTGGTTCTTCCTTTTATCTATATTTTTAAGCTAGTGTACATCACTGATGGATACACTCCTGAGATGGATTGGGCGGCTTTCTTTCTCTAATTGGTTGCTTAATTTGCACGTCTTTCATTGATATCTTTTTTATTTGGTTACTTTATCTGCATTCATTTTTGGATGCTGCAGTATGCTTCCATGAAAACGGTGTATGTATATGAAATTCTTTGTTTTCTGCAGTAATCTTCTATTAGTTTAATTTATCGTAATTAGTCATACATGCATATGTAATCTTGGATCATATATTATACAAGTTTTATATTGCAGGCAGCAGGTTTTTGTTGATTAATTAGTCTCTTTTGTATCCGTAAAAGAGATCAAATGATGATTAACTAATTAATTGCCTGATTTAAGATTATTAAAATTCTATTGATTGCAGATCAAGCCTCAAGCTGAGTCAATGGAATATAGCCCGTTATCAGTAAAAATGCTTTGAGACATATATCGTTTAAATTATAATAAAATTGGTAAACAAATAAACTAATGCAAGAAAACAATTTGCTAAAATTAGACATAAATCTAATTTCTTTAGCAGTTATTAGGTATGGTTACTTGATTGCTTCAATATCTTAACTGACAAATGACATATAACCTATAATATAAAACAAAAACCAATACTTATCCCATGCAATCGGCCGTACAAATACTAGAACACTGAACACCATAGCGTTCGAATTTGCGTCATATCTTTCGTTAGCTCCAAATACTAGGTCTTCTTTTATCTTTTTTGTCTTGAGTCTTTGTCTCATACTCACATTTTTTAGTCGGGACATCTGTAAGTCTTCAGTTTATGTGTTTAAACTTATAATATAAAAAAAATAATTAAAAAAAAAAAAACCTTGAATGATGGGACGGAACAAAAGGTGACAAATTTTATGATTGATTATCCATGATTCGTTAATCAGGACTCTTAATCAGGTAGCTTTATAATAATTCAGATCATATGTATATCAATATATATTTATATTTATATATGTTATGTGAACATGAACTTGGAAACAAAACCACAAACACTCCATGCCTCCGACTGCTTGCTTGGTCGGTCTAACCATTCACAAGTTTGAATCATAAAAAATAATAGAGAAAGCTGTCGGTGTGGACATTTAATCTTGAAGATTTTCCAACGACTTGACTAAAACAGTAGTTAATTAAATAATTATAAATAGAGTTGAAATTTTGAGAAGACAAATTATATTTTGTGACATGTTCAAATTTGGTTTAGTAGCTAATTAGTTTGAGCTATCTTTGAACTTTTTCTCACTCGACAATTAGTTGCAAACGAAAGAAACGAGTCATGAAAGATGGTTGAAGAAGATGCACTGCATTTTCTGTGAGAGTTGTCCCACCCAATAACTCACACTCTCAGACGCTCTTTTGGTTCATTTACAGCTCCTTTGCTCTCATAAGTATGGATCTAAACCTTGTCGAGTTTTGCAATGAAGCTCGTGATAATAAAGTCTATCACTGAAAACGATTGTCTGATTATGACAACTCATATATCGTACTAGAGAAATATAAAACTGGTGCAAAATTAAAATATAAAAGTCTCATGATTTTAAAAGTATTTTGACCAACCATGCGGTCAAGCTTTTCCCTTATTTAAAACTGTTTAAACTAGGGTCTCATGTATTAATATTCTTCGTCATGAAAAATTGTTATATGGTATTACTAATTTACATGTTATAATATGAGTAAACCAAAAATTTAAAAGGCACATAAAAAAGAAAAAAGAAAAATACATGCGTTATAATATAAGTATGAATTGATTTGTCGACAAAACAATATTATGATCTTCATTAAAGAATTACTTCAATTTTAAGACCTAGATTCATACATACAAGTCCATAATCTTTCTTTTCTGATTCAAAATTTGCAAACATAAAAGTTGAACATTGTACTTTGTTTATACAAACAATATTGAGAGTAGAAGAATCAAACTTAAGATGTCAAACGCAAAAGGTTAACGTTGAATCTTTAGCCGGATTTGAAAAAAAAATGGAGGGAATACTTTTGTCCACCTCCTAAAGTGGGGGTGAGCATCACTCTTACTGATTTTCGTTAGATTAGTTTAAATTGTGATATTCGTATTTTAGATCGATTAAAATAAATTAATTTAACGATAACAAGCAAGGAGAGTGAGCATCACCTCACTTTTAGGGTGTGAGCAAAAATGCACTTGAGATGAAAACAAGTTCAGGGGAATAAAAATGAATTGTCAAAAGTGGGGGGAGCTAAACCATTTCTTCGAAATGAGAGGGGCTTCTTTGTAGATAAGCGTAAATCAAGGGCCAAAACCAAAGAGGGTGACTTTTGAGCCCAAAATTCTGCTTTCCTGGCTTCTCTTGGACGGTGAAGACCCGGAGGACACTCTGCCACCAGTCTCTGCCTCTCTCTCTCTCTCCTCTCTCCTCCCTCACTCGTCACTTCTCTGGTATGAATTTCTTTTCCAATTGATTCAAAATCTCAGATTTCTTGATTAATTTCCAGATTGGTTTATGATTTTGCTGTTCTTGCCATATTCTGTAATCTGGGTTTTCTTATTGATGTAGCTGTAGGATATAGTTAAGCAAGAGAACTATATATATACATATTCAAGGGAATACCACTGTTTTGTAAATTTTACAGCTTTTGTGCTTTTATTTCCTCCTTGTTTTACCCAGTTAATTGGGCGATTGCTGAAAACGGATGCTCTGATCGTCATCATATTGTAAGCAGCATCACCAATTGTTTCTTTTTTTTTCGCACGATTCTCAAAGATCATAATAATTTCATTGTTATTGATAATCCTTATTGTGTTTGACAAATGGGTTCTTCATAAAGTTTTGATTTTTGTCGTGAGTGTTCATGTTTTTGGAAGTTGACCTTTTTATTTCAGTATCTCTTAGTTGATGTTAATTTTAGTGGGTCTTGATCAATTTACTTTAATTTGTGTGTTAGAACCAAAGTCTAAGAATGGCGGGATTTGTGCCTTATGGAATTGGAGGATCTTATCCATATTCATCATCATCGCCTTCAAGTTTATCGGCTTTAGCGCCACCTTTTACTGTCGATCGGCCTGCGCCAAAACCCATGTCAAGCTCATTTGATGTGACTGAGCCACCTTATGTTGCCCCCATGAATTCTTCTTTGCACAATTGGCTTCCTTCTCACCCGACCACTGCCCCATCTAATTTCTTTGCCAATCCCACCCCAGATCTCAATTCAATTCCTCCATCGAATGCGTATGGATATGCAGGCCTGCAGACTGTTGAACCATCCAATACAAACTTGCCTCCTTTGAACACTGTTACCACAACTTCTCCCAGCACGTTTAAGTACGATCAATCCTTCAATGCTGCTGCAACTAGTTTTGTTGAGGCCAAACCTTATTATCCCTCTTATCTATCCTCAACAGTTCCGAGTGTTCCCCCCATGGTGGTTCCTAGTCAGCCTAGTTATGATTGGCTGTCTAGTACTCATTTTGCTCCCTTGGATAGCTCCTCTCACAAGGATTACACTCAAAACCCTTCTGATCCAAAGTATACTACCCAGTGGGGTGGCTTGTGGGAGTGGGAGCAGGGTAAACAGGGAGACTTTAATGGAAATTTCTGCTCAAAGAAGACTGATGTTTCCGGTTCATCACTGTACAAGAATTACATGAACCAAGGTATGTCTTCCCCAAGTTATGCGTCCATGGAATTTTTCCAGTGCAACTACTTTTCTTTTCTTTTTTTGTTCACTTCCTGTTTGTTATGCAACCCTACTTTATTTTCCCCCAACTATACTTTATTTTCCCCCAACTATCTGTATAATGTGCAGACCCCTCATGTGAAGAAGCATCACATGGTATCAATATTCAGGGTTGGGAAAAGCTTGGTGGATCTGTAAGTGCAGAGCACTTAGGTGATAAATCCTTTTTGGCGAAAAATTCCAAATTCATCCCTGCTGATGTCACGGGATCCTTTTCAGCAGTTCCAGAAACCCATACTAAGGCATCATCCTCACAATTTGTCATGAACACCACAAACTGTAAAACACCGTACAGTGTATTCTCTGAGCAACAACAGAATGATGCTAGTACGGATGATATTTCGTCCACTTCAAAATTATCCTCTGCCCTTACCACTAGAATACCAGCTATTGGCACTAAATCTTCAGAACCAGGGATAGGTCTGTTCAAAAGGTTGAATTTCAAAAGTGATGCAGCTGAGATAGGTCGTGATGACTATTATCTTTCTAGTGTACAAGAGTCTCGTCAGCCACAAGTTTCTGAAGGCAACTGTCGTTTCAGTTCAAGCCAACTGGACAGTGTTCTTGGAATAAATGATAGCTTCTTTGCAGAAAGAAATGAAGAGCTATCAAATAATAGAAGTCTCAACAAGAGTCCATGGGATCATGTGTTTAAAGCGAAGTCTGGACTGGAAAATCCTCATGTTAGTCCTGGTGCTTTTAATGTGGCACTTAGTACAAATGAAACCGTCAATTCGTTTCCGAGTTCATCTGACAATGTAGATCCTAATAATCCAGCTGTGGACTCGCCTTGCTGGAAAGGAGTTCCTGGTAGTCGGTTTTCTCCATTTGAATCCTCTGAAGAAGGGGTTCCAGAACAGATAAAGAAACTAGAGGACTACAATGGTTTGCATTTTCCAATGCCACCGATTTTTCCACTAAACGCTGCGGAAAATGCTTCCTCCCAAAAGCCTATCAAGAACACCGTTGAATACCATGATCTTGGGTGGCTGGAAAAGGGTGTGACCCTTCCCTTGAAGAGATATTCAGTTGAAAACTCAGCTTTTGGAGAACATAAATTAGATGATACCGCGAAGACCACTTATGACTCAGAAACAAGCCATGGTAGAGGACCTCAAAGTTACAGAAATGTCCTCCATAAATCAGGGAATGGGGAAAACTCCTTTGGTCTCTTTGGCCAGTCTCACACAATGGAACAAGGTTGTGGTGGAGAAGACGGATTAGCAGTGGAAATGAAGAAAACAACACTGACTTGTGGTCCAGATGTTAAACTGAATGTCAGTGACACTATGGAATATGGTTCATTGCATGTGCCTTCTCATGCTGTAGAAAATATATTGTGTTCGTCTGTGGAGGAAGCACCTACTAAGCTTTCCAAATCTGATGGGGAAGATTCTATGCTGAAAGTGGGTGCACAGATGCTGGTTGATACAATGAATAGCTTGTCAGAATTGCTGCTTAGTAATTGTTCATGTGGCTTGGTTCAATTGAAGAAAAATGATATCGAGGCAATAAAAGCTGTGATCAATAACCTGCATATCTGCATATCAAAGAACAGCGAGAAATTGTCACTGACACAGGAAATGCCATCGTTCCAGCAAAATACTTCTCATTGGAACAGAGTGTTCATAGAGCATAATAAGGTATGCTGCTTAAGTTTTTGGAATCTTATTTGGGACTAGACCTTCAAATGAATAGCGGGTGCTTCACCATGCAGTTACTACCTCATACTCTATAATAATGTTTTGCTTGGCTGAATAATTTCTTCAGGTTGTGAGTGCAGACAGGGTCCCATTGGCATCTGCCTCTAACATTCAGGATGAAGTTACAGGTTCTGTTTCTGTGAAAAATGACAAAAACATGGCGAAAGAAGATAAAATGACTCAGGTACCCCTATACCTAGCATCATAAAGTAAAATGTCAAGTTATATTGCTTGCCGTTGAGGGATGAGGTAGTACAAAAAAATTAGCTGCTTATTTTGGCATGGACCTTGGTTTTTCAGGCTATAAAGAAGATTCTTAGTGAGAATTTTCAGGCTGAGGAAACAGACCCTCAAGCCCTCTTGTACAAGAATCTATGGCTTGAGGCTGAAGCTGTATTATGTTCCATTAATTATAAAGCTCGCTTTAATCGTGTAAAGATTGAAATGGATAAGTGCAAGGCAGAGAAATCCGAAGGTTTATGCTCTTACATTACGGCCGTAGTTTTGTACCTATAAATGATAAACTTTGATCTTATCTTTATTTTATGATTGTGTTTGTGTTTCAGACGGCTTTGAATATAATGCAGATATGGTGAAGCAATCAATGGCTGATGTTTCCCCTGACTCAAACCCAGTTAACCCATTGACGCCTGATGCTCAGGATTGTCCAACTTCAAATCTCCAGGATTTACCTGTATTAAGTCAGGAAGATGATGTATTGGCAAGATTTCGTATCCTAAGGGACCGTGTTGAGAACACAAATTCGATCGGTGCTGCCAATGGGGGCGAATCCAGCTCCAAGGTTTCTGAACCGAACAAGGTTGATAATATTCCATCTGAAGTAAATGGTAACTTATCCTCACATGGTCTTTCCATTCAGGATTCTCCTACATCAGATACAGTTGGGATGACAGATGATTACGAGGCTTCTGTTATGGCCAGATTTCGGATCATAAAAGACCGGGTTGAGAAATCGAAATTCATTAGTTCTGCCAATATGGAGGAATCATCCAGCTCCAATGTGTGTCTTGAACCCAAGAGTGACATAATTGCACCCAACGCAAGTGATTTTTCGGGACCTGAGTTCAATTTCCAGGATTCTTCCATTTCAATCACGACCAGCCAATCAAATGATTGCGAGGCTTCTGTTCTGTCCAGATTTCATATCCTCAAATCCCGGATTGAAAACTACGCTGACTTGCATACTGAAGGGCAACATCTTCCCGACCCCAAGATATCTGCAGTTGCACCTAACACGAGTGATAGCTTAATGCCCGAGATCAACATCCATGATTCTCCTCGTTCTAGCACGACCGACCAGGGAAACGACTGTGAGGATTCTGTTATGTCGAGGCTTCAGATCCTTAAATCCCGGATTGACAACTCTTACATGCATTCAGAAGAGCAGCAACTGCCGGAAACTGGTGGTCTTGGATATGCTGGTATGAGAAACCCCTGGCCGTTTATTAGCAAGAGATCGGAGGGTGAAGGTTCAGAACTGAAGGAGCAACCTATTTTGCAGAGTCATGAAGCTGGCAGTAGTGAAGGTAATATGGTGGCTGCTAAGGAATTCCATCTGTTCGTGGGCGGTCCACCGACAGATAATCAGAAGATCAACAGGCCTGGGAATCTGCTTCCGGCAGGTTGGTACGATAGCTCTTCCTCGGATTGGGAACATGTCATGAAGGAGGAGGTTTGGGGGCAGAACTGAAGAACCTGATGCTGGAAAGAAAACACCCCTTCCTGGGTGGTGGATGATTTCTCTCTCCTCTTTTGTTTATTTCCAAACTAAATGACTCTGGATACGATATTTTTGTACAAAGTTTGTGAACTTAATTTGAATATTTCGGAACGTATGTGTTCTACAATTATGTAACGGCGATCGAGTCTTCGATAGTGTGTGGGCAGATGCATGGATGCATGCAGGCATTTCATTACACGTTCATTCGCAGCTCCGGGTGTGGTTTTATACTACTCCGCGCACCTTAGCGGACACAATCGTTAAGGACGAGGTTCGAAAAGGGTCCTCTCGGGATCCAGGCGTCGCAGCCGGACGATTGCTTATGATGTTACAATTCTGTACTAGCTTTGTTAGGGTGAATTAATCTTGCACATGTTGCTCATTTTAGGGCATCGATTCCACGTCCTCTAACATGACAAAATAAGAGCTCGTCTCCTTTTAGGGCATCGATTCCATGTCCTCCAACGTGACAAAATAAGAACTCGTTTAGATGTGCTTTTAAAATGATTGAAAACGTTTTTAGAGAAAATGATTTTTGGTTTCAAAAGCACTTAAAGTGCTTTCTGCAAGAAGCACTTAAAGTGCTTTCTGCAAATAGCACTTTAAGTATTTTTCCTGAATTTACTTGCTTTTTTACAAATGATTGGTTTTAAAAACATCTTCACTAAAAACGCTTTCAATCATTTAAAAAGCACATCCAAACGAGCACTAAGACTTGCTGCCAAACAACCCCAGGGTTCGATCTATGTCATTGACAAAGCAAAGCGAGATCGAGCAAATTGCAAGAGACAACCCTAATGTGGAAGATTTAAAAGACGAAATGGAAACCTTAAAAACTCATGACATAGGAGTGAAGTACATCAGCAAACCAGAAGACCTCACTACCAATGTCTTTTGAGTCCACAAAAGAAAAGAAAAGCACAATAAATCCACACATAGACGAGCGTCCGTTTGGACAACAATAGCTAACGACCGACACTGACTCAAAAAAACTCATCATCAACTGACAACGAGCACGAGGATAACAAATTAAGTGGTGAGCTCCATGATAGCGCTGACAATGTCCCCGCTGTGAGTCTTGAGAGCCTTGACAGCCTTGCTCCTTGACACCCCGGCCTGTGTCATGACCAAATCAATGTCCTTAGGTTCCACCCCGGTTTCATCAACCTCTTCCTCTTCTTCATCTGCCTGAGGTCCAGCAGCTGCTCCGGAAATCTCTGGTTTCCCCATCACAGAACTCATGTCCGGCATCCTGAACTGCTGGGCAGCCTGTGTCTGCAGCTGAGAGCTCAAATCCTCAATCTTGGCCTCGCCAAATATCACATAGGTATCGGAGTTTGGACTCTTGAAGGCATCGGGTTTCGAGATGACAAATAGTATCTGAAACACACAAAAAAGAACACCCAATCAACATCGACGGTTCCATTGGCCATAACAATATCTCAATTTCACGAACCGGAAATCAAACAGCAACTTACGTTTTTCGTCTTCTTGATTGTAACCCTGCTAATACCAGTAACAGGCTTCATACCCAGCTTCAGCATTGCCTTCCGACTCTTCTTCTCGCTTCTGCTCTGTTTCGATGACTCATTTCCACCTGTTACATCGAATTAACATTGCTCGAAGCACAACACAGATATAATACATACTCATTGTGATTGAGCAGCAAAAAATACTGTATAAATAAACGAAAAAGTTTGAATCTTTATAGTTTACAACAAACAGAACTACGATTCGGCTTTTGGGTTCTACCGAAAACACTTCAAGATTAACATCAAAATCACTCGAGCTACCTGTTTTGCTCTCATTATTTCCATAGCTTTTGCAAAAGTCTAATATTTTCACCCTCTATATGCTCCTACCAATCAAACATGCCCTTAAAAAACGCAAAGACATCCATGACAAATCCAAAACTCCAAGCAATCGAAACGATAAGAACAGCAACACAAAGGACAAACCTTGACCGCCGTCTTCCTTATCATCATCGTCGTCCTCGTCCTCGTCCTCATCGTCCTCGTCCTCGTCCTTGTCGTCGTCCTTGACGTCCTCGACCACGACTTTTTCTTCCTCCTTGTTCTGACAACAGTAGCAGCTCAGAATTCGAAACATATATAAACCAAACAAAAAATGGGTACTTTAAACAAAGGGAGGAGCTTTACCTGATTAGCGTTCTTGAGAAGCTGGTCGGCGGAGACAACCTCTTCGGCGGCCGCGGCCGCGGCCTCGGGCTGAACCAGTGGAGCCGGTGACATGTTTCGGGTATGTCGGCGGAGACTAGAAGCTCTGAAACGGATAAAAATATGATGTCTAGCAATTCGTAACGCTGACGCAGCGGCGTATAGAGAAACAATGACTAGCGAGGGCAAAGGGTTTCGGTTTCTGAATGGGCCCGCTAGTGTTTGGCGGCACCACCAAGCCCAATCATTAAATCGCTTGCAATATTTTTCCGATGGAAAATGTTTTTTGCACTCATTTTTTATCCCGTAGTTCACCACTTGTTTTGATTTATTCTTTTCATAAAATAGGATCAGTTGATGGCTTTATCACAGCAATTCATATTTTTGGTGGCCAGAAAGACTCACAGAGGATTTTAGCCTCTCATGAATATCATCGTATGATTCATCAATGACATAGATTGAACTTCGAACGTGCAATATGATATATGATCCTGGAATTCGTCTGAACCACTAGACCACCCCGTTGTGTTTACTTGTTTTTGTTTTTTGTTTATTGATTCTTGTTATTGGTAAGAGTTTATTACGACAAACAAACTTAAGACTCTTTATTTACAAGTAAAAATGAATATCATCGAAGAGTAATACTATATGACAACATAAACCATGCTATGCTATAGACACTGTTTGATAAGATGCGAGATTTGATCAACTGTTTATTTACAAGTAAAATTGACTGCACGATGTACGATGAATAAACACGATTTACGAATCTCCAAAATTCTTACCAAAAGAATCCGGAGAGGATCCTGTTGGTATCTTTAATACTAGTTGGTCAAATCTCGTCTCTAATTAAACAGTGAACTACATCTTAATCCATGAAGCAGACAACTCTTACGAAAAGATGAACATAGAAAACTTTAAAAACTCATGACTCAGGAGTGAAGTACATCAGAAAACCTGAAAGCCATCACTGCCAATGTTTTGAGTCCTCAGAAGAAAAGAGAAGCACAATCCAGATACACATAGACGGGCGTCCGATTGAGCTACAAAAACCAATGACCGACACGACACTGATTCAAAACACTCATCAAGTAAACAATGAGCATGACAAAAACTACTGACATTGGCCAATTATGTGGTGAGCTCCATGATAGCGCTGACAATGTCCCCGCTGTGAGTCTTGAGCGCCTTGACGGCCTTGCTCCTCGATACCCCAGCCTGTGTCATGACCAAATCAATGTCCCTAGGCTCCACCCCGGTTTCATCAACCTCTTCCTCCTCTTCATCCTGAGCTCCAGCAGCTGCTGCCGAAATCTCTGGTTTTCCCATCACAGAACTCATGTCTGGCATCCTGAACTGCTGAGCAGCCTGTGTCTGAAGCTGGGAGCTCAAATCCTCGATCTTGGCCTCGCCAAATATGACATAGGTGTCAGAGTTTGGACTCTTGAACACATCAGGTTTCGAGATGAAAAATAGTATCTGAAACACCAAGAAATAGCAAACAAACAATGAATATCGAGCATGATACAACAATATCCCAATTGCACCAACTGGAAACCAAACATCAACTTACGTTTTTGGTCCTTTTGATGGTAACCCTGCTAACACCGGTAACAGACTTCATCCCAAGCTTCAACATTGCCTTTCGACTCTTCTTCTCACTTCTACTCTGCTTCGAAGCCTCACTTCCACCTGTTCATCATCGTCTAATCAAGATCACTTTAAGAACAACATAAATAACACATACTCATTGTAATCAAACACCAAAAACAATCAGGCTCACAAAGAAACCGTAGCATAAATGAACGAAAACAGTTTGAATCTTTACAGTTCAGAACAAACTGAACTACACTTCGTGTCAAAACAACAACGGCAACAACCAAACCTTATCCCACTAAGTGGGGTCGGCTATATGAATCCTAGAAACATTAGCACAAATGAACACAAAATCATGCATCTACGTTTCGGGTCGAAAACATCTCAAAAACTAACATCAAAATCAGCCAAGAAAACTTTTATGCTCTCAATATTTCCATAGCTTTTATATAAATCTGAACCTTTCATCCTCTGCGTGCTGCTAACATTCGTAACAAATCCAAAACTCCAAGCAACAGAGAACATTCAGGAAGCACAGAGAACAAATAAACAGCAGAAACAAAATGACGAATATGCCGTAAAATCGAAAAGACAAGAAGGAAAAAAGAGCAACCTTGAGCGCCGTCTTCCTTATCATCGTCGTCCTCGTCATCGTCCTCGTCCTCGTCGTCCTTCACGTCCTCGACCACCACTTCATCTTCCTCCTTGTTCTACCAATAATACCAGTCCACCATTCAAAGTTTAGTAAATAAACAAAAATGGAAAATGAAAACAAAATATTTAATCCCCACAAAAAAGGGAAAAGGGAAGAGCTTTACCGGATTAGAGCTCTTGAGGAGCTGCTCGACGGAGGAGACCTCGTCGGCTGCGGCGGCATCCTGCTGAACCAGTGGAGCCGGTGACATCTTTTGTGTTCCTCGACGGAGCTCTGGAAATTCTGAAACGGATAAAGGGGAACAGTCTTAGCCGTTTGGCAGGGGCAGGAGCAGCAGCGCGTATATAGAGAGAGCGTGATGGAGATGGATGATGATTCGCGAGGGCAAAGGGTTTCTTGTTACATGTGGGCCCGCCATATGGGCTTTTCGTTTATTTTGTTCGCTTGTAACGTTGCCCACATTCATATCTTGGCACACGTAAGGTCAATAACTAAATCACGTGTGTTGTATTAAGAAAATTCAAACTCGGACGCAAGAAATTTAGCATACTTACAGCGGGAATCAGCCTAAGTTACATATTTATATGTTGCGATCATGTTAAGAGAGAGATAATTCTAAAGACACTAACTTATTACGTCAAAATTTGGTTACCAACTGATGTGTCCAGTTATGCAAAGCCCTGCTAGAACTTACCCAGAGGCTAACCTACGATCACCCATTTTTTTGAGTATTTTTTTTTCAAGCAATGGGATATGATTGGTTGTTGTGCGTCGCCACCTCCCACCTATGACTACACATCCGGTTAAGGTCTCACAGGACGTTCCGCAATCAATCAGAGCATACAGATATCCCTTCAACGCAACGTAGGTCATTGAAAGGATCTTGAGATACTCGCGGCTTGATGAACCATCACGTTCATGAAGATTTTAATTTTCCGAATAGGCAACAAAAGACATATGCAACTTGATAGATGCTCTTCCATGTCATGAGGAATATGCAATTCCGGTTACCAGCACCAAAAACCCACTTATACCTGCAAACTCTAACAAGAAAGCAACTCGAATTGAACTAATCAAATTTGATTCCATCTCCACCAACATCATAAGTTCATCAGTAACTACAATTTTTCGAGTCAGAACAAATGCCATTTCAAGCACCTTCCCTATGAACAAAATTACTTGAACTTGACCGCTAACGAGCAAAACAACAGTTCACTTTCCTGGTATTTCTCGCATCCCATAGCTGCAAATCGGCCTAATAGCGGAACAACAGTTCAGTTTTTTGGTATTTCTCATATCCCATTAACTGCAATTCGGCTAAACAACGAGAGTTTTGTTCACTTCTTCACCGCGACTTGCTGCTTCCTCAACATCCTTTTGGACTTCCAATCACCAATGTGCCCAGCGGCATGGCAATGTGATAGTGTCCATAACCCACATGGAGCGGCAGAATCACAAACATAGCAGTAGCACTGCATACAGTCAGTGAATTCACTTTTCAGACGCCAAGTTAAACAACAGAACTAGGGAATCAGGGATACAGTCACAAGACGCAAAGATTTGAAGTTTTAAAACTCCATTACCAGATCACAGTAGCTCTCATGGGGTGTTGTCCCGAAAGGAAATTTCAGGCAGAGGTGCCTTGAATGTGGATAGTCTCTACAAGCAACCTACACAGCATCAATTCAAACCAACATAAGGCATCAGATATTCACAAAATTAGCTCATAAATTCACAAAAATTGGAATATGAACAAATAAGCACAAAAGTTGGAAACTTCTTATAAATTTCAAATCTTTTGAGGTTAAACATCTGAAGGTTCATAGGAAAAATGCCACAATGGGGTTATAATTTAAAATCCATTTCTTCACCTGCATTTTCCCAGCAACCAAACACAAGAACAAAGAAATAAAATGGAGTTATGATTTCAAATTCAGTTCTTCACCTGCATTTTCCCAGAAACCAAACAAAAGAAAGAAAATTGACACAAAGAAACAAATGGGTCATGGGTAAAAATCAAAACCTGTCCTTTCTCAGCAACAACAGCGATATCGGGAGAACTATCGTGACCACCACCACCATTATCCGACACGGACAACTTGAACAACTGCACCGGCTCCGAGGGATCGAAATCCAAGATGAAGCAGTCCTCGACGTCCTCGAAGTGTTTAACATCAACCTTGTTTTTGACACAGAGAATTTGCCTAATTGGACTCCCGTCGTCGTCCTCCGCGGAAGAAGACGGCGGAGCCTTCTGGGGCGATTTCTGGGTTGTCACTCTCTTCTTCTTCTTCACGCGCGACGGCGTCGACGACGGCTGATTAATCACTCTGACGTCGATTCCGGTTTCACCCATTTTCTCTCTGGCTCGCTTTCGGTTACCCAGGATTTTGAATTTTTTTGAATCTCTTTTCGTCTGAGATTCGGAATCCGAATTTCGGATGAACAGTCGCGTTTTTGGCTCTTGCTGCGTTTAAAACGAGAACGTTAAATGGGAAGGAGGACCGCCATGTTTTAAACGATAACTTGGGCCGGGCCAAAACTGTGAATTATTTTGTTCAAACTGTCGAGGCCCAAGTTCCAAATTATTTGGGCCTGATACAGGTTGTATGGATTCCATATACTGGAATAAAGTCATATGCTTGCCATTAGTAAGCGGATTTGTTTGTTTATTTCATCGTTACTTATTCGGACTAGTAGAAGTTGTGATTGAGAATGATACCTGATTGTTCTGGTATGAAATTTTATTCTTGATTTTTTATGTAAGTAAAACACAATCCAAATCATGAAAGAGAACGATACTATAACCTTACATATCCATTTCCCATAAACATGTTAAGGGCATGGACATCTTTGTACTTTTGTTTTGTTAGGAGCTTTAGCCGTTTGATGCAATCTGACTTGGTTCATATTTTGGTTTCGATTTTCGATTTTAAGCATTGACCCTTAGTTATATATCTTATACCAATAATAATGTATTTGGTGGAACATTACAATTAATATATATTACCCTTGTATCTCAACATATCCTCCTTTATTCCATTTGATTGTAGACCAAATATTATAATCAAACACATTTGAGCTACTATTTTTTTTTTTTTAATTCTTAATGTTTTTGCAGGGTTGGGAATCCGAATCATTTTTGTGAGGATTCTAAGAATTTGTGAATCATGTTCATTCATCATACATCATGAGATCATAAATTGTTTTAAGTTTTTTTATTTAAAATTGAACACAAACAATATTTGATAAAAATTAACCGTACGATGTACAATAAACATACACAATTTATGAATTTTCGAAATTCTCATAAAGATGATCATGTTGGCAGGGTTGGTGAGGATGTTTTGTTAAAGAGTTGACACCTTAAGAGTTTGGACCTCTTCCGGTTTTGAATTTTGTCAAACTTTTTTTTATTTACATCTCAGGCTCTGGGTCTCTGGAAAAGATAAGTTTCTTCGAGAAAAAGATGGGGTCCAATTAAGACATGGAAGTAGCACTTTGATTTTATCACCCATGAGAGCTATTAACTGAAGCTGTTTGATCAATGCTTATGCTAAACCATTTTAAGTATGGACATGAGGAACAGGGTGTTCAACATCAATGCCCAATGTCATGCAATAATCACCAAAGGTTTGAGACGTAAATTCACCAGCATTATCAAGTCGGATTGACTTAATGGGATAATATGGGAACTATGCTCATAACTTAATTATTTGAGCAAGAAGTCTCGCAAAGGCTACATTTCGAGTAGACAAGAGACAAACATGTGACCATTGAATAGATGCATCAACCAAAACCATAAAATATCGAAATGGTCACATGATGGTTGAATAGGCCCACAAACATCCCCTTGAATTCTTTGCATAAATGATAGGGATTCAGCATCAACATTTAGTTGTGATGGTCTAATTACCAACTTCCCTTGAGAACAAGCTTTGCAAGGGTTATCATTTGAGACAGTAATGTGTTTGCTCATTAATGGATGTCCATTAGAGTTGGTAATGATCCTACGCATCATGGTAGATCCTAGATGACCCAGACGGTTAGGCCAAAGCATGTAAACTTTTGAATCAATGAACTTCTGGTTTATGACAGTATGTGATTCAATTGTCCTTATGTATGTATAATACAATCCACTCGACAAACCACGCAACTTCTCCAATATACGCTTTTAGGTATCATTGGAGGTAATGCATAGATACTACACATTTTCTGTACTTTTCGTTTTAATGTGGTATCCATTTAAACGTATGTCTTTGAAACTCAACAAATTTCGAGTAGATCGAGTAGCATACAATGCATTCTGTATGGACAATATTGTTCCATTTGGTAACATAATCTGGGCTTTCCCTGAGCCTTCAATTACATATGAAGGTCCTGATATTGTTGTTACCCTTACCCTTGTAAGTATTAAGCTTGAGAAATACTTTCGATCACGAAGTATTGTATGTGTGGTTGCACTGTCTGCAAGATAAATATCTCCACCATTTCTCATGTTCTGAGAATAACCACAGTTTTTATCCATGCTCTATGAGTAAGAGAATCAGAGTTAAAAGCAAGTTATCACAAGAAATTTACATGCCACTTTTATTGAATCTAAAATACTACAAGTTCAGCATAATAAAAGTACATCAATGATTCAATTGGACCGGTATACTTCATTTCCCATTTCCACAATAAAATCTGGAACATCTAAGTGGGTTGTGTTCAACTGCCCTGATAAGTCAAACACTGGATCAGGTATATCCATTGGTCTCGACACCCTTCTCCTTGAGGGAGGCTTGATACATATCCACCAGATGTTTTGGGGTACAACAAGTACGCGCCCAATGCCCATTACCACCACACCTATGGCAGGCTCCTTCAGAGTTTTTGGGAGCATTGTTTATATGAGCTTTGCCTTTGTGGTGATTCACATTTTTGAAGCTCAGGCTTGAATTATGCCTCGGAACCTGGTTATGAAACTGAACTCCATGGTTCTTGCCTTTCCTGTTCTACCGACTTCGCTTGTGGCCACGTCCTCGTTTATGATTATCACCACCAGAGGATGTGGCATTCACCTCAAAGGAAGCAGCATTCACTTCTGTGAATGGTGCAGATCCAGTAAGTCGGGAATGATGATTTTTCATCAGGAGCTCATTGTTCTGTTCAGCTACTAAAAGCACAAATATCAGATGGTTGTACTCAGTGTAGCCTCGGCTCTATACTGCTGCTGCATGAGCACGTTAGAGGCATGAAATGTGCTGAGAGTCTTTTCCAGCATATATTCCTCAGTAATAATATCCCCACAGAGCTTCATTTGAAAGGTAATTTTGAATAACGCAGAATTGTACTCTGCCACTGACTTGAAGTCCTGGATCCTCAGATGAGTCCACTCATAGCGGGCCCTTGGAAGAATCACCATTGTTTGGTGATTGTATCTGTTTCTCAAGGCATTCCAGAGAGCTAACGGATCTTCAACTGTTAAGTACTCGCTTTTTAGCACCTCATCAAGATGACGACAAATGAAAATCATGGCCTTTGCCCGATCTTGAGAAGATAAGCTACTCTCTTCCCTGATGGTATCTCCAAGATTCCCTGCTTCTAGATGGATCTTGGTATCCAGTATCCAGGTCAGGTAATTATTCCCGGTAATATCCAGGGCAGCAAATTCAAGTTTCGCCAAGTTTGCCATTTTTTTTTCTGAAAGAAAATGAGATGTATAAGAACTTGCAATAATATGTATTAATGGAGGAATATGACGTTAGAACTTCTGGTTCTTACAAATTTGCATTTTGATCTTCAGGTCAAAATGATAAGCACTCGAAACTTTTGGCTCGAGATTTTCAGGGTAAATAAGGAGGGCGATTGTACCGCACCATTCTCATTGAAATAATGTAACATAGAATGGGCAATTATTCCGCACCACTTAAGTAGTAGGAAAATTAAATACGCAGAGCAGGGTGGGCGATTATACCGCACCACCTAAAATTGCAATGAAATTAAACAGTAGACAAATTTAAATATGCAGGGTAGGGTGGGCGATTATACTGCTCCACCTAAAATTTGCAGTCCAAGATAGGCGATAATACCGCACCGTCTTGGATCGCAGTAAGAATAAGTTTGCAGTTCAAGATGGGCGATTGTACTGCACCATCTTGGATTGCAGTAAAATTAACATAAATAAATATGGGTTAGTAATCAATATCCAAACCAAACAAGAAATCAAAGATGTATGTAACCATTAGGTTGAGAACTAAGAGCAGGCATGAAGCAAACAGTTCGTCGCGATAGTATACCGCGTAGTTGAGGCAGAGGAAGAAGATAAACAGTAAAAACCTTAAAGGAAACATTTTTTCTTTCTTTCGTTCGGCGAAGAGAGATGAGAGAATAATTATATTTAGAGACTCGTGCTGATAACGTGTTATAAATAGGTCAAAGTTAGAGAGATAACCCTTTAATGGTAGGTGCGAGGCAGATGAAAAATGTCACACTAAAACTATAGCATAAGAGGATAAAAAATAAATACGGAGGATAGATGATGTTATTGATATTTTCTCTCGTTCTCTTCTTATATATTTTTCTGTTACTTGAAAACATACGGAGTGCTCTATATATAGAGCAATTCCAAACTGATGCATTAACTGCTCATTGAAGTTTACAGCACTTCCCTTGACAATACAATCTCCATGCATTTACAAATTCAATTTTACTTTACATGGGCATTGAAAACTTCTACCAATTCTGAAAAACTTATGCCAATGTACTGTGGTCATTTATTAGCCACCAGTCTTTTCAACACCCTTGTATCTCAACATATCCTCCTTTATTCCATTTGATTGTTGACCAAATACTATAATCAAACACATTTGAGCTAATAATTTTTTTTTTTTAATTCTTAATGCTTTTGCACGTTTGGGAATCCGAATCTTTTTGAGGATTCTAGGAATTCGTGAATTATGTTCGTTCATCATAAATCGTGAGATCATAATGTTTTAAGTTTTTTATTTAAAATTGAACATAAATAATATTTGACAAAAATTAATAGTACGATATACAATAAACACGATTTATAAATTTTCGAAATTCTCAAAAAGATGATCATGTAGGCAGGTTTGCAGGTTTGGTCAGGATGTTTTGTTAAAGAGTTGACACCTTAGGAGTTTGGACCTCTTCCGGCTCTGAATTTTGTCGAACTTTTTTTATTTACATCTCAGGCTCTGTGTCTCTGGAAAATATAAGTTTCTTCGAGAAAAGGTGGGGTCCAATTAAGACGTGGAAGTAGCACTTTGATTTTATCATCGACATCGATTAGGTGAGATGTGATCCCCTTTGATTTGTCCAACTCCGACTAATTATATAATACCATTTGTAAACCTAATTAATCCTTGTTGGAGTTTTCATTTGTTTCAATTTTCAACACACTAGTTTGTTAATTAATTAATTTGAGCAACTACTATTGACATTAATATGAAGTAAGATTCGATGTCTATGTTTAAACTGTTTTCTTTTTCTGAATTTTCGTAGATTAATTAAGTTGACGTCGTATAGTACATATTTAAACTGATTCAAACTGTTTATGCATGTAAAACTCACAAAACAAGAACGATGATAATCAACTTACTCACAGAGTTCATATGTGCGAATGATGTCTCAATGAGGCATGAGAACTAAATGTTTTAGACCCTTTCAGCTTAAGTGGAGTTGAAGAATTCAATAATACAATACCTGAATTATTATGGAGAAGGCATAATTGGTGTCTTCTAAGTAACACAACCATATTTATATAAATTAGGTCAAGTATTTAAACATTTGGAAATGGATATTGATAGGTTCCACTCACCAACTGATTTGATCTTGCACCGCAGCTTAGGTAATAGCATATTATAAGATACCAGGCCAGCTCCTTATTAAATTGTCACACTCTTGTTTTTTATTTTTGTTCTTATTTGTAAATTTCCAATAGAAATACCGATCCCTTTCATACATCATGGATGAGTCACGATGACACAAACCATGACAATGATATCATCCAAATCATGGCTTTTAGGCAAAATGATGTTTGAAATTAGCCTAATCCTCAATTTGATCCTTAATAATGAAAATCAATAGAAGTGGTTTTTGAGTTTGTTCATCGTAAATTATTTTATTTTGTGAAAAATCTGTCACTATCCTCATTAAAATTGTCACATGGACGACCACATAACCACCTTTTTAATGATGAGTCAAACCAGCTCCTTCATTTAACGATGATATTGACATATTTTTCACAGAATGACCAAAGTGATTTACAGGAGACAAACTCAGGGACCACTTCTATTGATTTTCAATGTCAGGGACTAGAATAAGGACTTATACCAATCTTATGGTTCATTTTGGCTAAAAGTCTCTCAATCAATATATGTTACCATTCAAGCTTGAAGAAAATATGATGCTTGATCAAGAATCCTACGAGAAGAATCCTACAAGGACTCATATGAAACGTGTTAATGTTTGACCACTCAACATTCAATGCTATAAAACATTGTTGTCCTTTTTATCATCTTATAAAATTTGCCGAATCAACTAAAGAGAAAATTGAAGATTAAAATCATTTCACACACTATTAAAAATAAATAAATAATAACGACCTTATTGTAAATTTATGCTCTATCACCAGCTAGAAGGACTTCAGATGGACAATTCACTATTCTTTTCTCCAATTATCCCTTGTCGTGTTGTATTTATGTAGAAAAACTTGCCTAGTATTTTAGGAAAATTAATGAAAATAACTTGAAAACTTCGAGTTTTAACGATAAGGACAAAATAAAGAGTAAAGTGAATAGTAACATGATTGATTTTTTAGTATACAAATGTGGTTTTTCATTAAAGTGAACAGTATCGGGAGCTTTTCGTTAAAGTTTCCAAAAAAATATGACAAAAAAGTAAACCCTTCAATCCAATGGGTAAAAAAACTAGAGAACTTTAACATTAAAACTCAAAATTTTTATATCATTTTCATTAGTTTTATTTATTTTTTATTGCATGCTTATGCTCGAACTGGTGATGTATACTATATAGTGGAATGATGTGGTAGGCAACCCATTGACCTTGAGTATAGCATTCGAAGAAAAATTGTACTTTGTAATAGGAAAGTTTGGTTTTGTAAATTATGCATATTTCTTTTTAAACAACAATATTAAGGGGAGAAAAACCAAACACAAATTAAATATATACTCTTAATTAAACAACTAATCTAACAAAGCTTATACAAATCCTTTATATTGAGTGTGAATTCCGACTACACACCCTCCTAAAAAAATATAAAACAAAACAAAACCAGATAAAGAATTGAAATTATTTTAATTACCTTTATAAAAGGTGAAGACGTGTGGGACGCATGTGGGCCCTGCATGGGTGGTGGATACCTTTGCTTGCACAGCAATGGTGGTGGGTGAGCAAGGAAAAGCATATATATTACCACTTAGCACACACCATCTCTTCCACCATCAGTCCTACTCCTCCTCCTCTCTCTCTCTCTCTCCATCAACACCAACACCAAATCCGAAAAATGGGTTCGACCCCAGAGACTCAGATGACTCCAACCCAAGTCTCCGACGAAGAAGCCAACCTCTTCGCCATGCAGCTAGCCAGCGGCTCCATTCTCCCCATGGTGCTCAAGGCGGCCATCGAGCTCGACCTCCTCGAGGTCATGGCAAAAGCCGGGCCTGGCGCTTTTGTTTCTCCGGCTGACATAGCTTCGCAGCTGCCGACCAAGAACCCCGACGCCCCCGTCATGCTGGACCGCATACTGCGCCTCCTGGCCAGCTACTCCATCCTCACTTACTCCCTCCGCACACTTCCCGACGGCAAAGTCCAGCGGCTGTACGGCCTCGGCCCCGTCTGCAAGTTCTTGACAAAGAACGAGGATGGTGCTTCCATTGGTTCTCTGTGCCTCATGAATCAGGACAAGGTCCTTATGGAGAGCTGGTAACTAGTAACTACCGTTCTTCTTTTTTATCTATCATCTTAATTTGATCGTTAACAAACATTAAATAATGGGGTTGAAATAGGTTGACCATAATACAATATTCATAAAATGTTACGTTCTAACTGTGAGTTATGGCTTGAATATGTGATTGTTCTCTATTTTTTCCTAATGTGTTCTTCTTTGTTCCTGTTATTGTATGTAATGCTAAGAAGACTAAATTTATAAACTAAAGGACATAAAAGTTAATGATTGGTTTATTACTTAAGCTTTCATAAACGTGCTCATTCCTATAGGTGACATATCATTTAGTTTGCAAATTTAATCTTCAAATTTAGTCTCCTTAGCATTACTCAATTACTTTTGGCCGATTAGGCGGTCGGGGACGGACATGATTCAAAATTGACTTCTTGTTAGAGTTTTAGGGAGATCAAATTTTTAGGCAAAATTTACAAACTAAATAATGTATCATCAATATAAAATGAGCATGTTTATCAAAGTCTAAGTAATAATTAAATCATCAATTTTTATGTTATTTAACTTGTAACTTTTTCCTAGTCTATACGACGACTGGTCAACTGTTTCATGATTACAACTTAAACAAAATTGGGTGGAAATTTGGTACCCCCACTTTACCAACCACACCAGAGTGTTTCGATGTTACACGTTTATTTCTTATCAATCTTTTTCCTTAGTACAACTCTATATTTTAACTATTTTATTCTTCTATACAGAGCCGATGGAGGTTACATCAATTAGCCAGAGGGTCTCTGTCTCATTTTTATCACAGAAATGATAATTTATATTGGAATCTAAGTGGATGCTACTTTCAACAAACCATATTATTTGACTGAGTACCGTTAGGAAAACTTCATTTATAGATTAAATTTTGAAAATTAAATTATTTAAAAGTTAATTATTGATTTATTACTTAAACGTTGATAAACATGTTCATTCCTATTAATGACACAATTTAATTTGAAAATCTAACATCCTTAATAATCCTATTTGATTATTGTGAGTTATGCGTGCCTTGAAACACGTGGTAGGTGGGTTGGCCCAGCTCACAAGATTGCTCGTACTTAGTTATTGTAGATTGAGCTTTAAACAGAAATGAGTCATGCATGCTAGTTTTGGGCTTGTGCAGGTACCACTTGAAAGAGTCAGTCCTTGAAGGAGGTATCCCATTCAACAAGGCCTATGGAATGACCGCTTTTGAGTACCATGGCACTGACCCAAGATTCAACAAGGTCTTCAACAAGGGAATGGCTGACCACTCTACCATTACCATGAAGAAACTTCTTGAGATCTACAATGGCTTTGAGGGCCTCACATCCATCGTTGACGTTGGTGGTGGCACCGGCGCTGTCCTTAACATGATCGTCTCTAAATACCCTTCGATTAAGGGCATTAACTTCGACTTGCCTCATGTCATTGAAGATGCTCCCCAATATCCTGGTATTTTCTTCATTTCTGATAATGTTAGTTGCCTAATTACTTTAAAGCATTTACCTTTACATTCAATCCCTCAAGGTCGATTTCCTCCTCCCCTAATATTATTGTAAGAATAATGTTTGTACTACTTATCAATTTTCCTAATGATTATGAGGTCAATGGATGTTGAATATAGGTGTGGAGCATGTTGGAGGAGACATGTTTGTAAGTGTTCCAAAGGGAGATGCAATTTTCATGAAGGTGAGTTATTATTTATCCAAAAAGAGCCGATGATTATGTTGTAGTGCTAATATTAATTTCTTATAGGAGCTTAGTTGCTCAATATATTTGGAACTAATATCAAATCCTGTATGCAATCTTACAGTGGATATGCCATGACTGGAGTGACGAGCATTGCTTGAAATTTTTGAAGAACTGCTATGCTGCGCTCCCAGACAATGGGAAGGTAATTGTTGCTGAGTGCATTCTTCCGGTGGCTCCGGACAGTAGCCTTGCCACCAAGGGAGTTGTCCATATCGACGCGATCATGTTAGCTCACAACCCCGGCGGAAAAGAGAGGACGGAGAAGGAGTTTGAGGCCTTGGCTAAGGGATCTGGATTCCAAGGCTTTCGGGTCGTGTGCTGTGCTTTCAACACCTATGCCATTGAATTTCTTAAGAAGAATTGAATATAATTTCCCTTTGGTATGCTACCATCTGCATTTATATTGCTTTGGTTTTTTATATGGTGATCGTGTATCCGTACCTGGATTTTCCACCATAAGTAGGTTTTCATATGTTACAAAAAAATAATAAGAAAGTGATTTTGTTGCTTTGATACCATGTAACTCTTTGTATTGTTGTGTGAAAAATATTACAACATATATGTACAAGGTTACATTTGTAACATCCCACATCGTCTAAGGGAGTGGATCCTGTAAGCTATATTCTCATTTCTACTTAGCAAGAGACCTTTTGGGAGCTCACTAGCTTCGGGTTTCGTAGGAACTCCGAAGTTAAGCGAGTTCGCGCGAGAGCAATTCCAAGATGGGTGACCCACTAGGAAGTTCTCATGTGAGTTCCTAGAAACAAAACCGTGAGGGCGTGGTTAGGGCCCAAAGCGGACAATATCGTGCTATGGTGGAGTAATGAAATTTTCATTCCTTTTTTCAGCTGCATTCTTTTATATATTGATGTGTAAAAAAAATCGCTAAATACATGAAAAAGTTTATTTCTATATCAAATATCACTAAAATCAACATTAAAAGAAGAAATATATAGAAACATTAATTAAATATTATAATTTCGTGATTTTAGAAGCAAACGTACAAATTAAGTTTACAAAATCTAAATTTTTTTAACCAATTCTTTTTCAATTGCCTATGACTTTATTTTTTGATATTTTTATTGAATTTTAATTGTAAAAATTTACCTATGTATATATATATTTAAAAAAAAATTTGGAACCCCATTTGGGACCCCTTTGACTAAATTACCTATAAATTTGGAACCCTGAAGGCCTCCATGGGTGGTGGACGCCTTGGTACTACCACATCTCTCTCTCTCTCTCAACCCACCAAGCCAATACCAAAATCAAAAAAAGGGGTTCAACCAGAGAGACTCAGATGACTCCAACCCAAGTCTCCGACGAAGAAGCAAGCCTCTTCGCCATGCAGCAAGCCAGCGTCTCCGTTCTCCCCATGGTGCTCAAGGCAGCCATCGAGCTCGACCTCCTCGAGATTCTGGCGAAAGCCGGGCCCGGCGCTTTCGTCTCTCATGCGGACTTAGATTCGCAGCTGCGGACCAAGAACCTTGACGCGCCCGTCATGCTGGACCGCATGCTATACCTCCTGGCCAGCTACTCCATCCTCACTTACTCCCCCCCACACGCTGCACGAAGTCGAGCGGCTGTACGGCCTCGAATGTGTATTCCATGTGTTCTTTATTTTTTAAAGCCCAATAAATATTAATAACATGTCCATTATTTTATAAAACAAATAAATATATGCTAAAATATAATTGGACAAAATTAAAAGGTGAGCACTCACTAATGAGCATCCAAGTATTATCCGTCAAATATTACAACGACATTAAGTACAACACTATACTGAAGAAACCCAACACTTTTTATATAAAGTTTGGATTTGTTAATCATTAATTTATTATTTAATTTCATTATATTTCTTTAGGATAATAATTAGATACTCACTAGTAAGTACTCTATACACATACTTTTTATTTTGGCTCAATGATATTTTAACACGTGCTTTATTGTTTTAAAAAATAATAGACATGTTATTTACATTTTTTGTGCTTTAAAAAATAAAGAACACATGACATCTTTGATTCAGTCAAATCAAAAAACAAGTATATGAGGTACTCATTAGTGGGCCTTAAGTATTATCCATACAAGATATTAAGATAGAATCAAACTCGATAACTCAAATATAACGATGGATACTCCTAACAAACTCAAGTACAAAGTTTTCAAATAATCATATTGGGTATATGATTCGTATGAACTCTTACTGCACACACATAAAATAATAAAACAAAATGCTATAGGCATGTCGGCGGGGCCGGTCCTAAGAATTTGGGGGACGTAGGTGAGCCTTCAAAGTGGGTTTCTAGAGTTCTCTAACCCTCAATTTTTAATATATTGATACGTGTAAAAAAATCACTAAATGCATAAAAAAAGTATATAATTAATATCAAAAGAAGAAAATATACAAATATTATATTTTCGTGCTTTTAGACGCAAATGTACTAATTAAGTTTACATAATCTAATTTTTCAACCAATTCTTTTTCAATAGCCTATTATATTTTTATTTTTTTGATATTTTTATTGAATTTTAATTATAAAATTTATTTTTATATATTTTAAAAAAATTTGGGACCCCTTCGAAGTGGAAGCCTTAGGCAGGCACCTACTTCGGCTACCCTCAAGGCCGGCCTTTTATGTCGGGGCCTGCATGGGTGGTTGACGCCTTGGTACTACCGCATCAATGGTGGTGAGTGAGCAAATAAATCAATATATTGCCACTTAGCACAGCCTTCTCCTCCACCCTCGCTACTCTGTCTCTCTCAACCGACAAAGCCAATACCAAAATCAAAAAAATGGGTTCAACTGGAGAGACTCAGATGACTCCAACCCAAGTCTCCGACGAAGAAGCCAGCCTCTTCGCCATGCAGCTAGCCAGCGTCTCCGTTCTCCCCATGGTGCTCAAGGCAGCCATCGAGCTCGACCTCCTTGAGATTATGGCGAAAGCCGGGCCTGGCGTTTTCGTCTCTCCGGCGGACTTATCTTCGCAGTTGCCGACCAAGAACCCTGACGCCCCCGTCATGCTGGACCGCATGCTGCGCCTCCTGGCCAGCTACTCCATCCTCACTTACTCCCTCCGCACGCTTCAGGATGGCAAAGTCGAGCGGCTGTACGGCCTCGGCCCTGTCTGCAAGTTCCTGACAACGAATGAGGATGGTGTTTCTATTGCTTCTCTCTGCCTCATGAACCTGGACAAGGTCCCTGTTGAGAGCTGGTACTTACCATTCTTCTTAATTTATCATCTTAATTTGATCATTATCAAACATTAATTAATAGGATTTAAATAGCTAGGTTGATCATAATACAATCATAAAATGCTACTGTTACCTTTGGCCGGTTTGGTGTGTGGGGGTTCACAGTTTTAGAGTCCCGTTAGATGGAAGCCGTTTCATTTTTTTGTTTGTGTTGTTTAGAGTTAAAATCTTTGCGCCATTTAATACTACAGTTTAATGGTATTTATCTTCACTTGTAAGTGAGAGGTCTTAGGTTCGATTCTCAGCAGAAGAGAATTTGAACTACATTATTGCTACCTCATTGTGAGGCTTAGCCTGCCCTTTCCCCCTTAGTATAAATAATATTGGTTGTTCAAAAAAAGAAAAAGAAAAAGTCCTTGCAACATTTGTTTTGGAGACAAAATCTCATTACATTTTTTTTCTTAACAAACGATATTATCTACAAGGTAGAGGAGTGGGTTAAGCTTTATAATGGACTAATAATAATGTGGTTCAAATTCGCCTTTTAAGTGGCAAATCCCATTATGTTTTTTTTTTTTTGAACAAACGATATTATCTACACTAAGGGGAGAGGGTGGGCTTAATCTTACAATGGGCTAGCAATAATGTGATTTGAATTCGCCTTTAGTGAGAATCAAATCTAAGACATCTTACTTACAAATGAAAAAGAATACTACTAGATCGTAGTATTAAGTGGCAAATCCCATTACGTTTTAAACCTTCAAATAAAATCGAAATTTCAAATTAACAAAGAAATGACCAATTATTACCACGTGACATGTTACAGTTGTTCGATTTGGTTAGTTGAGTCTCAACATTAATTCATAAGTACATCAAACTAAAGTTAGAATATAGTCGAATTTACTATACCTTTGGACTTGTGTGGCATAAAAGGCAGAAGGCGTTGGAGAGGACCGATTAATGGAAGAACAAATTGACAACATATGCCTCGTACTCGAAAAGATATGAACGGCATACGATGAGTGATTTCTGGTGACCTATTTTATGATGGGTGATGCTTTGCATACATTTATTTTTATGTTTTTATATACTCTTCTCAATTTCTGATTGTTGGATCAAATGAATTAAAAAAATTAATAGACAAAAATTAATAAAAATGTGTAAGAAGTAAAAAGAGTGCGTAGAGCACTACCCCCGATTACCACCCTTGTTCTTTTCATCATAAAAATGTAATTACAATGTGAGTTAGGTTAATTAAGTAAGAGTAATGCTATTCATACTATGTTTTTATACCACATTTTCATACCACCTTAGGTGGTATTTGATGTGGACAACCACATCATTTGAATTAATCATATTTTTAAATTTAGTTCATTATTTAATAACTAATAATTAAGAAAAACTAGTTAATTAAATTATGATTGTGGTATACGAGGAGCCTTTCTCCTTCATTTCCTTGGGTTTTGCAAATTTTTCAAATGATGTGGTTGTCCACATCAGATGCCACTTAAGGTAGTATGAAAATGTGGTATAAAAATATAGTATGAATAACATTACTTATTAACTAATGACGTGTGTTTTTTCATTGACACATTTTTTTTTTTTTTTTTGGGAAACCTCGATGGTACGAGAGAAATTTTATTGATAACGAAAAAATAAGTTACACCTAGTCAGGGGGAACATAAACCTTACCCCTCAAAAAACAAAGACAATAACAAGGAATACACGAAAAAGAAGAGGGGACATAAACATTACCATTCTAAAAACAAAAAACGAGAATGAAATAAAGAAAAAAAGAGGAGACATGAAACCTAATCCCTCTAAAACCAAAGCGATCAAGAAACCGGGATTGGGCAGAACTAAAAGTGAAAATATATAATATAAAATTTACTCATAAAAGCAGTTTACTAAAATGTCAGAAGTTCTTCCTCATAAATTATAAATTTGAATTTCTTTCTCATAAATTATAGTAGTTTAATAAAATGTTAGAAGTTAAAATTTAACTCGGATACAAAGGTTTATTGCTTTACCAATTGCTCAGTCCAATATACCTTGTGCCCTTGCAATTGTAGTATAAACCCATATGGGCCAACCCACATGACCGTTACTGACCCATTGGCATATTGTTTTCTTTTACACATAATATATGCTTTTGGTTGTGAGTCTGACATGTATGTTTGGGTTTCTGCAGGTACCACCTGAAAGATGCAGTTCTTGAAGGAGGGATTCCCTTCAACAAGGCCTATGGAATGACTGCTTTTGAGTACCATGGCACTGACCCAAGATTCAACAAGGTCTTCAACAGGGCAATGGCTGACATCTCCACCATTACCATGAAGAAAATTCTTGAGACCTACAAGGGCTTTGAGGGCCTCACATCCGTTGTTGATGTTGGTGGTGGCACCGGTGCTGTCGTTAACATGATCGTCTCCAAGTACCCTTCGATTAAGGGCATTAACTTCGACTTGCCTCATGTCATCAAAGATGCCCCCCAATATCCTGGTAGATTCTTCATTTACAATTATGGTTGTAGCTCAATTGGCTAAGAAAAAAAACTTGTGTTCGATTCCTCTCCTGCAATATTTGCTTGTATTAAAAAAAATATGCATGTACTATTTATCATTTTTCCTAATGAGTTTGAGATCTATGGATTTGGATACAGGTGTGGAGCACGTTGGAGGAGACATGTTTGGAAGTGTTCCAAAAGGAGATGCAATTTTCATGAAGGCGAGTTATATATGATTTATCAAAAATAAAGTCGATGACTACTTGTAATGCTAATAACAATTTCTGATAAGATCATGCTTGGATGGTTAATATATATGGAGCTAATATTAAAATTGTGTTTGCAATCTTACAGTGTGTATGTCACGACTGGAGTGACGAGCATTGTTTGAAGATTTTGAAGAACTGCTATGCTGCGCTTCCTGATAACGGCAAGGTGATTCTTGCGGAGTGCATTCTTCAGGTAGCCCCGACCAGTAACCTTGCCGCCAAGGTAGTTGCCCATCACGACCTGATCATGTTAACCAACAGCCCTAGCGGAAAAGAGAGAACGGAGGAGGAGTTCGAGGCCTTGGCTAAAGGATCTGGTTTCCAAGGCTTCCGAGTCATGTGCCCTGCATTCAATACCTATGTCATTGAACTTCTTAAGAAGAATTGAATATAACTTTGGCTTTGGTATGATAACGTCTGTATTCATATTGCTTTGGTTTTTTATATGGTGATCGCATGTGGATTTTTCACCATAGGTAGGCTTTCATAAGTTATACAAAAAAAAATGGAGGAATTTACGCAAATACTATATGCACTTTTGTCTGTGTGTGCATCTACCACATGAACTTTTCATTTGTATTATTTACCATTTGAACTTTGTATTATGTTGCAATGTACCGCCTACTTTTAGAAATTTTGTTAATTAACAAGTACAACATTGGGCTTAAATTTTTCTACTGATGTGAATGCCACGCGATGAATAAATATTTATTAATTAAAAATGTTATAAATTAATACAACAAAAAAAAAACCATGATATCCTTCCTCCTCTTTTTATGAAACCAACAATTCGTAGTGAAACTAGACATTTTTAAATCACTCCCAAATGAGTCGTACAAATGAGAAAATTTGTTGTACAACAGATAGATGTATGTACTGCCACAAACACAAAATCAGGACTCCATGTATTTTCTCATCACGCAAACCTACCTGTAATAAGGTTTGGCATACAGCCGCTCATACACAAACTCTCCGAAGAGCAACTCCACCGTGTGAAACCACCCCTCAGGCAATACACTATGCTATCCACCCAGTGAACAGTAATCGTCTTTTGCATCTCTACCGTTGCACCAATAGCCCTGGCAATAGGCAATAAAATATTAGTATTTTTTTTATTTATAAAATAATACAAAATAATTTTAATTGTAATTTCAAATAAGATTTTTAATCGTTCTCGTTGCGCCACATGTCATTATCGGAAAAATTATTAAATAATATAAAATAATTTTATTTGTAATTTCAGATAAGATTTTTAATCGTTCTCGTTGCGCCACCTGCATCAGTAGTCATTTTGTTGAAAAAAATTGGATTGAAACTTTGAGAGAAAGATAGGAATGTGATTGAAAGTAGTTGAGAAAATATGAAATTGTGGTGTAAGGTAGATGATAATGAGAAGATTCTATAGAAAAGTAAAAACAATTTTTTAAAAAAAAAATTCAGATTTTTTACAATTTTTTTTTAATTTTTATTCAACTATTCTTTTCGGATTTTAAAACTATTTTTTCTTTTATTTATTTATTTATAAAGCATATTAATATCGACCGTTGATCTCAGATCGAACGGTTGATATTAAATAAGATTTTTTTTATTTTTTTTTCCGTTGACATCGAACAGTCCAAGTTAAAGAACCGTTGAGATCGAATGGACCGTGGGAAGCCACGTGGCTTCCCAACTATAAAATTTCAATCTGAAAAGTTGGCTGCTTTTTCTTAAATTATGTCGGGTGACGTGCCCTCACTCACGAGTGGGGTGGACGCGCCTGACAAAAAAAATTAAAAAAATGGCCTGATGCCAGGCTGACGTCAGCCCTATCATCACATCCACTCGGGCTGGCAATTCTTCACAGCCCTGGAGCTCGGGCCTCCACCTCCACTCGTGTAAGAACCCGTCTCGGGATTTACGTAAGAAAATGAGTATTTTTGTATTTTCACTAAGTTTGGGGGATACTTTCCATTTTAAAATTGTTTTTGAGCCTTAATTGGTGAGCCCGAGGGGCCCACCCCCTGTTTTGTCCCCCCTCTGCCGTGTCCCTCCTTTCTTCTTTCTTCTTTTTCTTTCTTCTTCTTTTCCTTTCTTTTGTTTTGTTTTGTCTGCACCTTTTCCTTTCCTTCGAAACTCCCCCATTTCTCTCTTCTTCTTCCCCGTGAAACACACACACACACACACCCATGCCCACGCCTATAACTCTTTCCTAACCCCGTGGTGGTGTTTTGGACGTCAAACCACGAAGAAACCACCTCGGGAGACATTTCCCAGTTTTCCGGCGAGCACCGTCCCTTTCGAGGCGATTTCCGGCCAAACCACGGCGAGTTGGCCGGCGTGCGAGGTATCAATCTCTTCGTCTCGCTGAGTACTACAACTTTCCTTTTTGTTTCACGTAATTTCATTGAGTATTGAAGAAGTTATGCACATTTGAATCTTAACCAATTTCCGGCGGACAACCGTGGCTTCCAGGCTGTTTTCCGGCCAACTCCGGCCACAATGACGGGAACCAAGGGTATATTTCGATTCCTTACCTTCGGGGCTTCAATTTGGTATATTGAATGACATGTTTTGGTTGAGTTTTGAGCTCCAACGGAGCTTGGGAATTCTCCGGTCGAAATCCGGCCTTCTCCCTCTTTGGACTCCGGCGAACACCCAAGGCCTTTGGGCCTTTCCTGCCAAGCCCAAAACCTGGGCAGCCCAACCCAACACCCTTTGTAATTAGGCCTTTGGGCCGTTTGTTTTAGGGCCTCTGGCCCGTTAACCCTAAACCCATTAGACCCAAACCCTTAGGCCCAACCCGGATCCAACCCAAGTCCAAACCCAATACCCAAACCCATTTACCCTAACCCAAACCCTAAAGCCCAAACCCGTGGCTCTGACCCGTTGACCCGGACCCGGACCCGGACCCGTTGACCCTGACCCGGACCTGACCCGTTGACCCTGACCCGTTGACCGTTGACCCGGTCAACGGTCAGCGTTGACTTTGACCGGTCAACGGTCAACGTTGACTTTGACCTCCGGGTTGACTTTTTCGGTTTTCGTGCGGGACCCCTTCTAGGCTAATTTCGACGTCCTGAACCCGTTTCCGATGTCCGTTTTCCCAAATTCAACCGTTTGAGTAGAGTTTGACTAAATGTACCGTTTATGTGCTTAGGGGCGATTATCTGTGGCGTTTCCTTCTTTGCTAGATGGCGTGGCTTTTCGACGGCGAAGTACTGTGAGTGGACCCCTTCTAAAAATGCATGTTTTAATAGTAGAAATGCATACATGAAAAGCATGACTTTACGATTATGTTTTATGAAACGTTTTACGAGATAACATGCTTACTGAGGCTAGTTTGAATTATTACTATTTTTCCTATAACCCATGTTCTTGTAGAATATCTGATGGATGACGATATGATATTTAGAACATGTTTAGAACACCTCTTTATAGTATAGATGATGGATGACTATACTATGAAGTTGATTTTCAATATATGTATGTTCACTGGTTTTATACCTACCTAGTGGTCCTTTCCGCTACGGGACGTAGGGATAGATCCGGTCCGTCCTGGGCGACGGTTTGGTGTTGGCATAGGGCCTGGAGTGTGTTTTCCTCTGACTGTCTGCTCAGAGACGGGGAGCCGGCAAGGGGCCTGAAGTGTATTTTCCTCTGACTGTGTGCTCAGAGACGGGGAGCCGGCATGGGGCCTGAAGTGTTATATCGGACATTCACTAGTGTTTATTATTTATGCGAATTATGATTTGAGACATTGCACGACATGCTAGGTTTCGGAAAACCTATGTTTATCATTATATATATGTATTTTAATAAAACCTGGGGGTTAGTATGTTGATAACTGTTTTATTATATATATATCAACTTGGTCCACTCATGTTTGTTTTGCGCCCCCTTCAGGACTTAGAATCGAGGCATACAATCCCGACGTCCAGGCACTTCCGCATCGGCATCTTCGAGTCCTTTTGGTGTAGGACCCACTCCTTGGTTTCATTCAAGTTTATATTATTTTCTTTTAGTGTTCTAGATTAGTGGTGTGCTCTGAACACGGTTCTTATTTGCATATTCATTATTCTTTTATATTTATAACCCTTATTTATCTCTTGTTTTCAACATTTGCACTCAATAAATGGCTTTCGTCACCTTCGGGTGTCGGCCAGCACGTGCCTATCCTGGTATTCGAGGAATATCGGGGTCGGGGCGTGTCAACTCGGGCTCCTTCATGCTGGAGCGAATCCACAGGGCCTCGGGCCCTTTTCTCTGGCCTGTCCCTCGAGCAATCCACCACAGTGGAGTTGCTCTAAAACGGAGAAAATGGCAAGAAGGGGATAATAAAATGACAGACATTATTATTCACGACGAAGCTGGGAAATTATTATTTATGATGTTCATTCAAACTGATACCATGATCAAGAAATTAAATCAACAAAATTACAGAAGCATTCCTACCTGCCATGAGAAGCCATAATTAGAAAAGCAACAAATATATTACGAGTAATCCTTTAGATTCAAAAAACCGACCGTATTATTATGAATTCTCTATCACTTGTACTGTAACATCCCACATCGCCTAGGGGAGTGATCCTTATATGTATATTCCCATCCCTACCTAACACGAGGCCTTTTGGGAGCTCACTGGCTTCGGGTTCCGTAGGAACTCCGAAGTTAAGCGAGAAGGGGGCTAGAGCAATCTCATGATGGGTGACCCACTGGGAAGTTGCTCGTGAGTTTCCAAAAACAAAACCGTGAGGGAACGGTAAGCCCAAAGCGGACAATATCGTACTACGGTGGTGGAGCGGACCCGGGAAGTGATCCGTCCCGGGCCAGGATGTGACAAATTGGTATCAGAGCCTAACCCTGGTCGCGTGTGTGCCGACGAGGACGTCGAGCCCCTAAGGGGGATGGATTGTAACATCCCACATCGCCCAGGGGAGTGATCCTTATATGTATATTCTCATCCCTACCTAGCACGAGGCCTTTTGGGAGCTCACTGGCTTCGGGTTCCGTAGGAACTCCGAAGTTAAGCGAGAAGGGGGCTAGAGCAATCCCATGATGGGTGACCCACTGGGAAGTTACTCGTGAGTTCCCAAAAACAAAACTGTGAGGGAATGGTAAGCCCAAAGCGGACAATATCGTGTTACGGTGGTGGAGCAGACCCGGAAAGTGATCCGTCCCGGGCAGGGATGTGACATGTACGTTCAACATACAATTAGAGAAAACATCAATAATACGGTTAGTTTTGTGTGTCTACACAGTAGTATTGAATAAACAAACGCACGTATGTTTGATGAGGCTAAGGCTGCTGCTGAGTCTTGAAAAGGTCCAAACAATGGTCTTTCTCCAGGTCCCGAGTCCAAAACTTCTTATAATATTCAGTGTAGGTATAGCCCCTATACATGGCTGCAGATCCATCCTCTGTGAGAGCTTTTGCTGGGCTTATCAGAGCATCATCTTGTGGGCAGAGGAATGAAGCTACTGAGAGCCTTGCTCTTTCAGTATTGGTAATGGCACGATGCCACACACTCTTGTAAATCCCATTACTTAGAGCCTGCACCAATCAATAATATCATTTGCAATCAATTTTATTTAACTTAATTTTATTTCATTTATGGCAATGGTTGATATACATGCAAATAATCATATTTTACGGTTTCAATTTTAAGGTATAGTATGCTAATTATTATGTGGATATGCTTAAAGAATCGTCTCGATGAGAAAGCCTCATTTCTTCAATTGTCTTTAACTTTGATTGAACTTCTTACTATGGTTGCTTGTTTTAGGGTGTAAATTAATGATTGGATAAAATTCGAGTTTGAATAAATAATCTGATACCTATAATAAAAAATCGAAACTCCAAAGTGCAATTTTTACCTATGTAATCAACTCTCTTGACGGATATGATTAAAGTTAATAAAATTGATCGCAAGTGGTATTCTTCAAAACATTCAACCTTTAAGAAGAATAGACGTCATTCAGAGAAATCTTTTGGATTATATGTTACCTGTAATTGGTCACCAATGTTAATGACAAAGGCATTGGGTTGGGGACTGACAGCAACCCATTTGCCATCTTTGAGAACTTGAAGGCCAGCAACTCCAAGGTCTTGGAGCAGAATTGTTAGGGCATTTGGGTCGGTGTGGCCTGGCAGCCCGTAAGTCAGCTCGGGCTGCGGACACGGCGGGTAAAAGTTCACCGCCATGTGCTGTCCTTGCTCGCCCAATGTGCTCCTTATGTAATCTTTCTCCAGCCCTAAACTTTCTGATATTAATTCCTCTAATCTGTATCCGAGTTCTCGAACCTCTCTACAGTAATTACTCACAGTGTCCCTGCAGCTCACAAGAATTAATGTAAGAGATTGAAAGAGCAAACCAAACCCAATTTCGGTCTGAACCGGTCCAAAAAAGATTAATTAAAAGAAGATTTTTGTTAATGACAATTAATTTTTGGAAAACGAAAAGCTTCTGATACTGTTTATTAACGAAAAATCATATTTTTATTTTGAAAAATCATATTTTTATTTTTAAAAATCAATTATGATACTATTCATTTACAACAATTTTTCATTAAAACTCAAAATTTTCAAACTATTTTCATTAGTTTTCTGTTATTTTTTTGGTAACCCGTGGACCATGCCCTTGAATTTTAATACTATTTAGCTACACGGACAAATAAAACCCCACGCATTGGACACGACAAGTTTCGATGGCCCAATGCTGACTCAGTATCAACTTGAAGAAAGGCCACGGAAGACAAAACCAGACACGAGGAAATAATTTTCAATGTTTTATAATGCGGAATAGTTTATTATAAAGTGAAAAAAGTTAATTTTTTAAGTATTTCTTCACTTTGTATAGTAACATATAGCGACTATGCCCGTGTTCCAAGCACATAAAAAACATGTAAATATATCTTAAACCATATTTTTATGTAAGAAAAAAATTAAAAGAAAATTAAAATACATAACAAAACGTGATAGGATTTTCATCTTTATTTAAACGTTTCTGTTTCATAAGTCTTTTTTCGAATCGAGTCGAGAATACGTCAACATCTCGATTCGACTCTCGCACTAGTCTCGTGCAAAGTTCAATGCACTGCCACGGTATCACTCTATAAAATTGAATCATATTAGATTTGTTTTTTCTTTTGGAAACATCATATTGGATTATGAAGAAAATTAAATTAAGTTAAATTAAATTGGTTGCGTGCTGCTTTTACACGTAGCCAATCACTCATCAACCACATGATCCATACTGCCTACGTCAACGCTGAATAAGCCTTTACGTCACTACCCCACTATATTATAAACCGAACCAAAATGCATCAACGGCTGGGATCTCCCCTTTCCTGCCCTGAAAATGCCGCAATCACCGTCAATCAGCCATGACTCTCGTACGGGTAGATTTTCAAATGCGTAACATGTAGGTCGGCCCGTCTCAAATTAAAATATCATCCGACACCTACCCACCGCCGTTGATCGAGCCCGATTCGACTCTGACAAAGTCAACATGCATCCATTTTCCTCCTACAATAATCAGAAATGGCCACAACTACTGCCGACTAAACTACTCTAATTATTTTCATTTATTCTTAAGAAACTACTAGGAGCATATGTAACTAGAAACTACTCATTAGCAAAGCAACATAAAAATTATATATAAATTTATGTATAAAGAAAACTAATTTTGATAATTAAACATTGTTTAGAAAACCCTAGAAACCTAGCTAAACTCTATAAACTAAAAATTATACAAATTACGCCTGACTGAATCTATCTAGTTCCTTTTGTAATATTTCGCTTTTCAATGTACAGAAAGAGATTTTAAAGTTTCAAAATGTCTCCAAGTTAGTATTTTAGAATATGAAAAGAATAGATCAAAAATTTTCTGATTATAAAATTTCTTGTAATAGACGTAATCGATGAGCCTTCTCAGGAGTTCAAATATTAGATAAGCATGTCACATGTCATGAAAAAGATGATGTAAATTTTTTGCACTTTAATTATTTTCTAATGGAATACTTATTTTATTAAAGACCTATACGATATATCATATATGTAGTCAATGTTCTAAAAAAACCCCACCTAGTGCTGCCTAGGCGGCTGGCCACCGTTTCGATTAATGCTTAAGCATTTGAAAATTAAGAAATGGTGCATAGACCTGCAAACACCCGCCTAGCCTGTCCAAACAGCCTAGCCACCCGCCTAGACACTGCCTCGGTTGCAACTCACTTAGATAGAAAATAAATAAATTTCCTTTTGCGTTTTATTGTTTCCAATAAATTGTAAGAGATTTATTGAATACTTAAATAAACACACATTATATGTTTGCTCCTCATGTTTTCATTATGTTCCGGTACTTCATAATATATATGATATTCTATTTTCTAGTTTATGATGAAATTACATATATTTAAGTATAAACAGACACTTATTTACACGAAATACAATAAATTTACTTAAATCCGTCTAGTTCGTCTAGACGCCCATTCTGCTAGCCGTCTAGGCGTTAGGCCCCAGCCCGCCGTCGCCTTTTAGAACCTTGTATGTAGTACACTATGAATTATATATGATAGAAAGCAACGTAAATAATAATATACCAATGGTGTCTGATGCATATCTGAGAGAGAGACAAATAATTGAGAGAGAGAGAGAGAGAGAGAGAGAGAGAGAGAGAGAGAGAGAGAGACGTACCTGAAGGACGAAGGATTGGAGGGCCACTCAGGAACGTACTTGTCCAAAGGATAGCAATGGAGGCGAAGATAATCTCTCCAGTTATGAACCTTCTCCTTGTTTACATTAAAACTTGTTGAAAGTCTCATGGTTTTTGAGGGGTCTTCTGAGTACAGCTTCAACTTTTCCTCCAGAGGAAGGTTAAAAAACTCATTGGCCACCCCTACCATTTTTTCCACTCCTTCCGTTGACACCCCGTGGTTAATAACCTAGCACCGATATCACTCGAATATCAAGAAATATGTACGCACACATATGTACATGTACTGGGTTTGTGAAAAATGCGGTTGTTGAGTTTCGCAATATCTTGTATCTTAACTAAAGTGAGATAGGGATCGATCCATATAAATAAGATCCTAGTTAATGATATAGGAAGGTACCTGAAAAAAACCATAATATTTGCAGGCATCGCCAACTTGCTGCACAGTTTGGGCTCTGTTGGGAGAAGCCAGGTCAATAACGGGAATGTTTTCGCATTCGGAGACTTCGGACAAGTGAGGCCGGTCGGATTCTGGTCTGACATAGCTTTCCGGCAAGTTGGTGTATATGATTCCGGAGGAGAGTACTTTTGTCTCCATGTTTCGGTATTAAGTTTGAAGGGGGAGACAAAGACAGCAATAAAAAATCTGCATTCTCTCTCAGCTGCTAAGCTTAATTTGGAGCAAGTTCTAGGAAGTTGCACAGCTTAGTGAGTTAGTGATATTGCACATGGTATTTATAAGGGAGTTGATACCCTCAAATTTCAAGATCAGCATTGACTTGCAGGCTTCGGTCTTGCAGCCAATCTTTATATGACACTTGGTGCGGGATTAATGGACAGTAAAGTGGCTGATATGTAAAAACTACAGACAATCAAATTATAAATGTGTCTTATCTTCTATCTTTTATTTAGCGAGCAACCGATGAAAGTCTTATTACAAATTACAAATCGAAGAGGTGGGGCCTTAGTTCTATAGAAAGTAGAGTAAAGGCAACGTACTGGAATTGCATATGAACAAGCTACAGGGCGGCTCTCTTCCTTGATCAGATTCTTTAGTTTTCAGACATGCATAAAAAACCAACCTGAAGCACTACTTTCATCGTATGCATGGATTTCTAAGTGTTGGTTGTATACTAGAAGAGAACCTTTGTCCGAACAAACAAAAAGGTTCCCTAAATTTTTTCGAGACCGTTTTAGGTCACCATTTCGAAGTAGTACTGGTGAGCATGGGCTCGGGTCCTCGCCGGAACCTTCATAGCGGAGCTTCCGGATCAATCATTTCGTGGCCGTTAGATGATATCCTACGGCTAATAATCCATTTTCTGTTAATAGTTTTAACATAAAAAAAGTCTCTCTCTTTCCTCTCCCCCCTGTCTCTATTTTTTCCATCAAAAAGCTTAGAACCCAATTTCGCATCAAAACATCCACCTCTCTCCCTTCTCTTTCAACACTGCAGTGACGAGCACGCCGTATCCATGGTCTCCCTTTTAGGGGCTGCTCCTCGAGCCTTCGAGTTCCGATCTTCGTGAGACGGCTCAAGCGAAGATCGATCCAAACTATTTTTCTCCTTTTCCTCCCTTCATGGTTCCACATCAAACACGAAATCTGACAAATTTTTTCTTCCTCCTTGCAATCCATTACGTGGCTGTTTGGAAAATTTAATTCATGGGTTATAAGGGTGTCTGGAAAATACAAAAAAAATCGTATATAAAAAAAAATTCTGGGTTTATGGGCGTTTTTTGTTGGGTGAAGAAAAGAAGTAGGGATTAGGGATGGAGGACGGGGGTAAAGATCGGGTTTTGGGGTGTTTAATGAGTTGGCTTGATTGATTTTCTGCTTGAGACCAACAAATATACTTGTTTTGAAATATGAGATGCAGGAGGCGAGGGGAAGGTGACATTGAGAAGCAAAATAGAACGGAGAGAGAAAAATGTCACACAAGCAACCTTGATTTACACCATCTTCAACTCATGGGCTAAAACTTAAAATTTTTAATCCAGAAAATTTAAGTTTTAGCCTAGAAACAGTTTTTTTGCTTCAACCCTTGTAGCCTAAATTTTTTTAGCCTGAGATTATTAAAAAATAAATTTAAACTAATATTTCTTTTAAAGTAATTTAAAAAAAATTATGTACACTATCATAATTTAATTGTATGAACATTTTAACCTAAAAATATTTAAATTCCGATAAATATTGAAAAATCACTAAATTTGGGTGAATTTTGAGTTAAATAATTTTTTAAATTATTTTAGCCGTTGGATTTAAATTTGGGCCGTTAGATTTTTTTTTTACCGTTAGATTTGATTATATTCGATCTCAACTGTTAGATTCAATAAATCCTAAGAGACATGCCTATGTGGGTGGGGTTCCGCTGGTGGTGCCCACACCATTTTTTGGGCTAAATCTTGGGGAAATTTGGCTTTTGTTTGGCTTTTAGCTTTTAGCCTACACATTTAGCATGGGCTGGGTTGAGTTTGGAGGAGGAATAAAACCTAAAAAATAGCATTTAGCACATGGTAGTGTTTGGTCTTACTGGAAACGGTGAAGAGAAGAAGGTGAGGATTGAGAGAGGGTGAAGAAGATGATGAAAAAGAAAGAGGGAGTTCTGTAAAGAGAAAAAAAAAAAAAACAAATCAAATGAATCCTGACCGTTCCTCTTTTATTGAACGTTGGTGATTAAAGGATCCCCGGGGATCCCTAGAGCAGGGATCCGAAGAGGATCCTATCCTGGTGAGCATTACCAATACATTAATTATTATTAATATTTAAAATTTGTGTAGCACATTTTTTTATCTCTAATTTAGACTTAGACAAACACATATAGGTTAAGTCACACTCATTCAGCTACAGTGTAATGCTCACAACCACTTAACTTTTTTTTTTCCTACTTGCATAATAACATATAATGTATTATCGCATATTGTAGACATATTGAAAAATTTCTCTCTTTCAAAATTTATCAATGTATAAAGTCAACAAAAAGTAAATTAAAATTCGAATCAATGCAATTGGCGAATTTTTTTTTTTTTAAAATACTTACTCATGGCCTACTTCCTATCTAGATTTTATTATTTCTCATAAAACCTTCAAATGTTGCATAACTTACGCATGGCTCACTTACTAAATATGGATTCCCAAAAATATAAACCTGCCCCACTGCCAGTGGTCCACAGCCACGTAAATTACCTTTACTGCCCCCATCAACGTCTAGTAATTGCAAGTGCGGCTACGTCAGCCGTGGAGTGTAGAAAACGCAGTTTTTGTGTGGTTTAGAATGGCTAATATACATCATGGCTAAAACCCTAAAAGATGACGATTATAGCTAATACGAATGGGATTATGCACATATTTAATGAGTTGAATATTTTTTACGTATAGAAAACTTCAACCATGTAATATTACTAATAATTCCTTTCAGTATTAGTCGTCGAGAGTTGACTTGTCTATCTTACGTCGGGTTAAAACGTGTAATCTTATCTTTCCGACCAAAACAATCAATCGATTGATTACGTTCCATTCACACATGCAGGATGATAGTAAAATACAATCGAACCTCTAAAGCTAAGCTGTGGAAAATGAATCAATGGTGTAGAAATAGGATGATAGTTCTATGGACAAGAAGATCTCCTTCCCCACCTCATGATGCGTGCTTGCCCTAAAAAAGGAAAAGGGTCGGTTTGACTGTCTGTTAGTATTTGTTTCTTTTGTTGAGAATAAAATTCCGGAAGGAGGGAAAATATTGTATATAAGCTAGGTTATTTTTCATATTGTTAATTGGTTTTGTCGTGAAATTTAAATTTTCTTCATGATATTAGAATATGTTGTCACACGTGTTAGCCCAATGGTTACATGTGCTTTACATCACTTCGTTATATTGTCTACTTGTTAGCCTTGAAAATTTATCACACATAAAAAAATGTATGAAGAATGAATTTCCACATCGATGGAGGATGGACCTTGGCCGGCAGGGCAGCCACTAGCCCATAGATAGATGTATATTAATGCCGGCAGGGCAGCCACTAGCCCATAGATAGATGTATATTAATGCATGCATGTGAGCTTGCGGCTGACCAATCACCAATACTTCCTATTAATATGGCGGTAGAAAAACTGGTGCGATGCATTATTCAAATATTGAAAGACTTGCTTAGGTTGGGTGCCATCCAATCCCATCCCATTCAATGTGCCCTTGTTCATCCGGTGGGTCCGATCAGTACAGGATTAAGATGTCCTAGCCACTCACGCTCCCATCATAATCATAAACAAATTATCCTAACCCTAAAATTCTAGAGAGATCAATGGCTTTTCTCCTTAGTCCACCGCTGTTAGCGACTGTATTTTTCGGCCACCTTTATGATCCTCTCATGCCTAATCGGTTTGTTTAGTGGTTTATTCGATTATTAAACTCTCTATTACGATCGACGATCACATTAGAGAAGATATAATTAGAATTTCTCTCTAACTAAAAAAAGATAATTAGGGTTGGTCGACATACAATAGCCAACAATGTTGAGGCAAATGCCACATCATCAAAGTATTCTTTCAGAATCTTCAATTGTATTTTCAACAATGTTATTAGAAGAAAGAGTATATATAGCCTTTAGCTTTATACAGTAATACCCTCAACTAATGCATTTCTTCATGGTGATTTGAAAGAAGTTGTGTATATGGAGCAACCTACAGGTTTTATTGATCCTTCAATGCAACATCATGTTTGTAAGATGAGGAAATCTCTATAAGGCCTCGAACATGCACTAAGAGCTTGGTTTGACAGGCTATTCCAAGCTCTTCTCACGTTTGGGTTTGTTCAATCTTCCTCAAACGCATCCTTATTTGTTTTCAAAGGACTAGCCTTGGTAATTGTCATAGTGTATGTAGATGACATACTTGTTACATGCCCTAATGCTTCTCTATGTCAGTTATTCATTCAAAAACTAAGTGCCATTTTTCTAGTCAAGGATCTGGGGCCTCTGCATTATTTCTTGGGATCGGAAGTTCAAAAAACATCTAAGGGTATCTTTCTTCATCAACCAAAGTATCTACTTGACCTTCTTGAGAAAACCAATATGGAAGGTTCTAAGCCATGTTGTACTCCTCTCAGTTCCATCAAGCTTGATTACAGTGGCCCTCTTCTCTCTAATCCTACTAAATACAGGTCCATTGTTGGTGGCCTGCAATATTTGACTTGGACAAGACCTGATCTCTCCTTTGTAGTAAACCAAATCTGTCAATTCATGCATGCTCCCAAGGAACAACATATGAAAGCTGCAAAAAGGGTTCTCAAGTTTTTAAAAGGCTCAATTCCTCAGGGCATCTGGTTTAAAAAGGGTAGTATTAATCTCACTACATACTCTGATGCAGATTGGGCAGAGTGTACATTTGACAAGAGATCCACAAGTGGATACAATGTTTTTCTATGTCCTAATTGAATTAGCTGGAGTGCCAAGAAACAAGCTACTGTAGCCCGATCATCAACAGAAGCAAAGTATCGATCTTTGACACACACAACTGTAGAACTCACTTGAATCTACAAAATATTTCATGATATTGGCTTTCCTCTCAAAACTATTCCTACTTTGTGGTGTGATAACATTTTAGCAATTTCACTTGCCTCAAATCTTGTATTTCATGCAAGAACTAAACATTTAGAAATTGATTATCACTACATCCGAGAGTTGGTTCTTGCAAATCTCATCAAAGTTTAGTTTGTCTACAGTTAAGATCAATTGGCAGATTCTTACACTAAGACCCTTTTTCAAAAGCAGGTTCTGTTACTTGAAGTCCAGGCTTCCAATTGGCATCATTACAGATTCCAATTTTAGCTTGAGAGGGTGTATTGAGGCAAATGCCACATCATCAAAAGCTGTCACTGGTTTGTTATAACAGTGAATTTTTAGTTTAGATTAGTTGAGGGTATTACTGTACAAAGCCAATAACTATATATACTCTTTCTTGTAATAACATTATTGTGTAATGAAAATACAATTGAAGCTTCTGAAAGAATACTCTGAGTTTCTATAAACAAATGTGTGGTATTGTTGTAAAATTAGTTCACACGTCAATTTCAAACTTGAAATTAATCAGTTCAAAACCTTCTCCTCAAAAAATCAGTTCAAAACCTCAGCTATCTACAGTACATATGGCACGTCGGTAATTGAATCATGGAACCGCACAGATGCTTCTGTGTTAAATACACTCATCAATGCTCAAAAGTTCTGCATGTTTTGTCCAAATCCGTTGTACTTTATATAAGCAATTATTAGATCGCAACAGATACTTACGTGTCATGCTCTTGTGTTATTAGAGATATACATCCATCATATTCATAGTTACGTAGGTCTTGTCCAAATTTGTTATACCTTAAACATTAAGAATATAATTTTTACTAAGAAACTTTCAGGTGTCGTGCTTATGTGTAATCGGAGATATAGATCTTTCGTAGGTTTGTGGGAATATGAACTTAGCTATAGACAGGAAGAGTCAGCTTTACTGATACAACGTCCGCATCCTACAACTTTCGCAAATAAAGTTTATCTTCCAAGAGAACAATGGCTCCATCCATGGAGGTTGGACCACAAGCAGCATAGATCTAAACCTTTTTCTAGATCCAATTACATTAAATATTTGTAGTTTCTGTTCGTTTTCGAGAGTTGAGACCGTGAATTATTACATATAGAATAGTAACTAGCAATTGTTAATTAGACATGGCACGATTAATTAAGTCCCCCATGCCCTCGAGAAACTGGAAATAATGGTCAATCTGTGGAACTCAATGCTAGGGTTTTGATACAAGGTTTTGACATCATATTTGTAGCTTCGTTGTGCGTCATCCTATGACGAGGTGATGACGTTAGGTAAGAAGAAAAGTTAGGCCACCAGTGCACCACCGGCCAGTCTGTCGGTGGCATCAATATAAACTGACAAGCATGTTGACTTGATCCGGTGATCCAGTCAATGACTCCATGTCCTATCGACCGCCCAAGTTGCACCATATTGGCATCCACTCTTGGCCATTTATGAGGAAAGGAACTTGGCTACGGATCTCACACGGTCTAACATGTAAGATAAGTTGCTAATATATTATCATGTTGATAAAAAAAAAAAGTGACATAGAATTAATTTACTTTAATCGTATTATCTTGTTTCAATTGGATAATGATATGTGTAATTAAGTTTCAACATATGATATTATATTATTAAATAAAAATATCATGTAACGATCAATTTGTTCTATATGAATTACTCTACACATCAACCCGAGTTGAACCGCAAATTAACCCAAAAAAAGAAAATTTGAGTGCGTTTGTGGGATGAAAGAATAAGGAAAATAATATATGATTCCGAAATATAGTGCAATTTATAATTACTAACATCGTCACATGTGTTTGATATTTCAAAAATGTTCGTAAGCAAAAAAAAAAAAAAAAAAAAAAAAAAAAAAAGAGAACCACTCTAACAAGCCTTGACCCAAGTGTTCATTTACCCAACTTATGATAGAGATCGAGTAACATCATCTGCATAATTGTTTGTGTATATACATAGTTTTTTTTTCCCTTTAAATTAAGTTATCAATTTAATACTGATGCTAAAAATGATGTGTTGTTGCAAGAAACATGTGTGTGTGAGGTAATACGTAAACATCAATTGTCATTTTTGTGCATTATTGAATAAGACGAAATGTCCATCGCCATGGATGTCGATCCAGTTTTACTTAAATACAATACTTTCTAATTGTTAAACTCTTTTTTTGTTAATATTTTGTTTTATTATTATTATTATTATAATATTTCATTTATTAATATTATTTGAGAAAGAGAGAAACCCGAAAAAAAAAAAATACTCAAGATACTACATTTAACAACCGTGCACATTATTTTGGTGAACTGATAACACCATGATAACTTTGTCAAACGATAGGAAAAAAATTGTCCCGTAAAGATTTGATCACCCTCATTTTAGGAGGGGCCTTCCATTGTATCTTAGACCCTAGTTACTTCACCCTCTCAATGGAAACTACATCAACGTGAACGTAGGCCAATTTCGGATAAACTGCAATATAACTCATGTTCTAGTGTGTTTGTGTGATTTTTTGATCGAATCTAAGTTTATCTAACTTTGTTGTGCATCAAGATCCATGGTTCTTCTGTCTCACATAATAATTAGTTGGGTTTTTTTTAGCCAAAATAGTATATGAGATTGACATGACTCCTCATTTTAATCTTTGACAATAAAAATCGATAGAAGTGGGCCGTAGTTTGTCCTCTATAAATCATTGTAGTTCTTCTGTGAAAAATTTATCAACACCCTTGTTAAATTGTCATGTGAATAATCACGTGACCAACCTTTTAAAAATATTTTTACCAAACCAACCCTCCATTTAACGAGTTTGGCCTTTGCAACACCACTGCCCAAACATCACTACCGCAGAGAAAAAAACCCCCTCTCTTCCCCTGCCAAAAACTTCCACGACACCGAAATCCACTCCTCCACCAAACTCTCCTTCCCTGCAAAATTATCAGCACAGTCACGCAACCAATCCTCTCCCAGGTCTGCAACCCTTGGCTTTCTTTTTCTCTACAACAACAACAACAAAGCCTTATCTGCTAAAGTCGAGGAGAAAGGGAGGTGCATGGATGCAAACGTTTTGTTGACCCGGTTGTAACTTAAATTAAACTCTTCATCTCGTACGTCCATTTCAATCTAACCGCTCTAGTTCCCATGTGTACGAAAGATGTACAAATAGTATTGTACGTTACAAAAAACTTGCCCTCCTAAATTACATGACAACATGAACTCTTGGATCCATTGGACTTCCACTGAAAGCAGGTAATCTTGGATCCATGGGATTTTCAAAGTCCAACTACTTTCAGGCCCAAAAGTAATCCAAACCTTTTCATATACTGGATCACATGTACATGTGGGCCTAAATACCATCAAAGCCCATGTAGAAGTCCAGTCAAAATACGTGTGCGAGCACACACACAAGCGACTTTGACTGTTTGACTTGTTTACCAACCAACTTTTCCGTTACACGCGCGCAAACTACACGTCGTTTCTTCACTTTGCATCGCCTGCTTCAGAAACCTCTTCGCGCATTTCCTTCCAAAATCCTAACCCGAGCACTCCCACGCTTCAGAAATCCGACCCGAAGACTTCCCCTGACTACCTCTTCTCTCCCTCGACGAATTTTCCGTCACTTTCCCCAGAAAATTTGAGGAAGAAGAAAATGGAGAACTCTACGCAAGAATCGCATCTCAAGGCGGAGAACTCGGTGACGTACGAGTCGCCGTACCCGCTGTACGCCTTGGCGTTTGCCTCGCCCCAAACCCGAACCCGCCACCAGCACCACCGAATCGCCGTCGGCAGCTTTATCGAGGAGTACTCGAACCGGGTCGACATCCTTTCCTTCGACCCGGATACCCTTTCAATAAAGCCGAACCCGACCCTCTCCTTCGACCACCCTTATCCGCCCACCAAGCTCATGTTCCACCCGAATCCCAACGCCCTCCACAAAACCAACGACGTCTTAGCTTCCTCTGGCGACTACCTCCGCCTTTGGGAGGTCGGTGACTCCACCGTCGAGCCTATCCAGGTGTTAAATAACAGCAAGACCAGCGAGTTTTGCGCTCCGCTGACGTCCTTCGATTGGAACGACATTGAGCCCCGGCGAATTGGGACTTCCAGCATCGACACCACCTGCACAATTTGGGACATCGAAAAGGGGGTCGTCGAGACGCAGCTGATTGCTCACGATAAAGAGGTGTACGACATCGCGTGGGGGGAAGCCAGGGTTTTTGCTTCGGTTTCGGCTGATGGGTCGGTGAGAATTTTCGATTTGAGAGACAAGGAGCACTCCACTATCATCTATGAGAGTCCTCAGCCAGATACCCCTTTGCTTCGATTGGCTTGGAACAAGCAGGATTTGAGGTACATGGCCACAATTTTGATGGACAGCAATAAAGTTGTGATCTTGGATATCCGATCGCCGACGATGCCAGTGGCGGAGCTGGAGAGGCACAGAGGTAGTGTGAATGCTATTGCTTGGGCCCCCCAGAGTTGTAGGCACATTTGCTCTGCTGGGGATGACACTCAGGCGCTTATTTGGGACCTGCCCACGGTCGCTGGGCCGAATGGAATCGACCCCATGTCGATGTACTCCGCAGGTGCGGAGATTAATCAGCTGCAGTGGTCTGCTGCACAGCCTGATTGGATTTCCATTGCATTTTCTAACAAGATGCAGCTTTTGAAGGTTTGAGGGCGGGAATCTGGGAAGCTTGTTTTGTGATATGGACTGTAAGTGTTCATTCAATTGTTTTCTGCTTTGCTTACGTTAATTGATTTTACGACTGCTCTACTGATGTAATTTAGGCTAAATTGATTAGTTTGTTTAAATCTATTGAATTCATCACTGCTTGCTTTAAGTTAGTTTAAGACTGGTCTGTTTTCGATTGTAAGTTTTGCATAATTTAAGACTGATCTGTTTTCATTTGTAAGTTTTGCATGTCTGAATTGCTGGTTAATGTCGCGGATATGTTAATCTGGGATAGATGTTCGTGTGCATCTGTTGCAGAATTATTGAAAAACATTTACGTTTGTGGGAGCACTCCATCTTCCTGCCAATTTGTTTACGTTTTCTTCTAGGAAGATATGTTTAGCATAGTATAGCTCTAAGTTTAATTTGGTTCTCTTCTTGGTTCTTTTTCTTTACATGTTTCCTTGTTTGAAGATACCAAACTCATTCTATTGCGTTTATGGACATTGCATTTTGGCTTATGCTTTTACACCTGGTTTTGGAACATCAAAGTCGTCTTCCCTTTGAATTTGTGGTTTGCTTTCCTCTTTCTTCTTTTCGCCTTCCAAGTACAGCATGATGATCTGGTGTCATTGTTTACCTTATGTTCTGTTTGCGAATGGTTCCTTTGAATTTCCAACCTTACCAATCTGTTCATGAGCATCTTCTCTGTGTACAATTATGGCACACTCTGTGTACAATTGAAACCTAGACTGTGAAGTTTTCATTCGCATGGCAACTGTCCGCATGTATTTGTAATTATGCTACAGGTTTCATTTTTCGGAAAAATTGTTCAATATGCATATGTATACTATTTGTTTGTTTATCTAATCCTGGTGCCTTCTAGTCTAGTTGTTTCTTCACTATTAATGAGTTAGGCATTATTGTTAACTGCTACTATGCATCTGCACATTATTAATGGGGTGATGCTATCCACACGCCTCTTTTTACCTCTCACACATCCGCTGTTAATTTATGTCCTTTTATCCTATTCAATTCATTGAATTCGACGGCCTGAAATTAAGAGGTGTGTCGAAGGTAAAAGGGGTGTGTCCGATCACAATGCATTGTGATTTTTTTTTTTCATTCACTTTGGTTCAGTCATTTTCTCCTTATTAACGGGATAAATTGCATGTTTAACTGCTTTTGATGCAGGCGTCCTGTCTTGATGGAAGCAGTGATGATCACTAGGGGAAGTTAGCTGGAAGTAGTTCTTCGATTACCTATGAGGCTTATTTATAAAGGAATATGGTTAGCTTTGAACTCTTTAGAGATATGTTTATTGCTGATTATCAACTAGTCTTGCTATCTTGGTCTAGACTCGCAATGTGAGTAGCGTGTCTTCCCCTCACACGGTTCGTCTAATCCAACGTTAATTGTACCTGTTAGTGTTGGCCTCTCCTGTATTGCATATGTTATGCCCTCGTGTTTGACAGTACTCTACTCTATTGAGAAAAGAAATAAAAAAAGGAAGTTGTCGGAGAATTTTGATTGGTGCTATATATAAGTGAGTTTGGATTGTTTCGATATCGATTCCCAGATCAAACGCGATTGCGTTGTTGTGTTTCTGTAGTCTTTTGCAATGTGTGAGATTGGGGAAACAATAAATCAGGTGCTGCTGAGCTGAGATGCGGTTTTTCCTGGTTGCATATGATGATATGATTCGTCTCTCATTCATCCCACAAAACAAGTGAAAATTATTATTATTATTATTTTTTATTTTATAAATAAATTCGATATCATCTAAAGCTAAGGGATGGAGGAGTTTGGCGGATCTCTCTTGGTTTTTTTTACTAGAAAGCGGTTTTAGTTATTTCAGAAGAAGTCCCAACCAAACTCTACTGGTGTATATGTAGCTAACATATGTATGCATCTCAATGGATACCAAAAAGGGTTTGCTTCTTACTGTTTAGGGCATTCACAATGGACGGTTTCCGAACTTGCAGAGAGCAGGTTTGCTTCTTACATTCTAGTTTCGAGAGATTTTTTAGTGTGACCGGCACGGGGTGGTACACCACGTATCACTATACAAATGGTGTGATATTCGTGTTAAAAAGTTAATACCTTAAAAAATAAAATTTCCCACCACTTATATAAAAACATGTGATGTATCACCAATGTTTCCGTCAATGAAAAATTTCTAGTTTCAATGCTCTATACAGGCTACGAAACGTAAGAGATAAGTTATTAGTGCGTCTTGTTCTTTTTAGGGTTTTCTTTTTCTATAATGTAGTGGCAGATCTAGGATTATAATGTCGTTACCAATATAAAAGTTTCCAAAATAATTTAGACAAAACAATATTACAAACTGCAAAGACTAAATTTGTCTATGATGAAGTTTCAAAATTTGAATACGTTTATGATATTCATTATCAATAGACTAAATTTTCTGTGGATTTGTTCTATTCATTACTTATGGGCATGAGCAAAACCACCATATGAACCGAGAAGGAAAACTCTATACAGTTTTTTCATAAATCATACTGCGAATCCAAAATTTTCATCCAGTATACATTAATTTCATTGATTAACATTCTATACAAAGGAACTTGGATCAAAACTTACTTAAATTTGAAAAGCGGGGCTTACGTGGTGGCGGAGAGAGATGGACCATGTGGTGGTTGGAAAGGAGAGAAGTTGACCAGGTGATGGTGTCCTGGTGGATAAATTGGGGTTGGGGTAATTGAATGGTTGGAATTTGGGGATTGGAGGTTTGCAAAGAAAATGGGCGTTATTGGGTCTCGACAAGAAGGAAAGAGAGTTTGTTTTTAATTTGTTAATGAACTCGCTCACCATGATGTCATTTGGTCAGGTTTTTTTTTATGAACAATATTTAGCTACTCAAATATGAGTAAGAACTCTATTCAAAATTTCTCAAAATTGTTCGTTGTCAATTTATAGAACTTCGTGTTTATAATCAGAACGTTCAAATTATAAATTACCCTATAAAGATCACATCTACAAAAAATCAATTAAAATTGGTCGTTTAGTCATCAAACTGTTTGAAAACAAATGAACAGTATTAATAAAAGTATTATGAACCGTCTATGTATTTGCTACAATAGATTGATTAAACGACCTTAGTTTTAATTTATTTTTTTTGCATAGATGATCTTTACAGTGTGATTCATAGTATGAATTGTTATGATCATAAGCACAAAACTTTGTGATTAAAACACTAAGGGTTTTGTGTAGAAGCTTCGACTCATTTTTGAGCTGCCAAGTATTGTTCTTTTTTTATTATAAAATATAGCCTTTGTTTTCTCATCTGCTGCTGCACAAGCACATCGAGGTCTCTTCAATTTCAGCACATGCCTATTAGTTGGGTGGTCCTTGAAAGTCCTCATAGGTAATTCTTTGGGTATTCGGTGGTCCTGTGAGGCCATCTCCAACCAACTCAGCCAAATGGTCATAGGGCTAAAAATAACTCGAAATGACACAAAAATGGTCTCCAACCGAGAGCTAGGCCAAAGGGTTTGTGGGCCCCATTTGGACAAAAACTGAAATCAGGCCAACAGGCTAGCCTCATCCAGCTAGCCCTCTCCCAACCCAACAATTCAAATGCAACAGTGTCAACATGACGTTCCTACACCATTTCTTACATAATTTTCATAATTCCATACTATCTTACCTCATTTTATTTCAATTATTCACATTCTATTCTCTTACCTCTTCCAATAATCTTTCCTTCAAGTTTTTCAATAATATTCAAATGGTCACATCTGCAATGAAAGGAAGAGTTTGGACCCGAAAAGAAGATGAAGTTCTTTGCAGGGCTTATAGATAGGTCCCAGAAGATAGTGTCAAGGAGAGTTCTCAAACAAGTGAAGGTGTTTGGACTCGTACGTCCAAAAAGTATTATGAGTTCTATGAAGGCACCGCTCCACCGAATCCCTTAAACCACGAGAGTTGTTCTTCAAGATGGAAAAAATATCTTCAACCAAGTTTGAATAAATGACATCAAGCAGTGTTAAATGCCCAAAGCAGACAGGAAAGCAAAGCCAATTATTTTAAATATTTAATTATATTACATTTAATTTCATAAATTAATTTCCTTTAATTTTTGTAATTATATTTTCTAGGTACGCCAAGCAGAAGAATTGTATATGGAGGACATGAAAAAGCCATTTAGTCATCACTGTTGTTGGGAAATTTGTACAGTGTGGGCGTTATTTCAAGATCCACCTCAAGAAAGATTTGGTCCTACGCCGATGTTTAGAAATGTTTCCTCAAATGCAGTTGGGGTTGAACAAGGATCTCCTATCATTTAAGAAACAAGGGTAGAAAATCCGTCTCCGAGTGAATCTTCCATACCTAGGGTTACGGGACAAAACAAGGCCTAAAAATTGAAGGAAAAGGGTAAGGCAAAGGATGATTTAGCCTTTCAAGAGGAAATGGTGTCCTCATTGAGACTAATGGCAGAACAAAATGCCTTGTCGCAGAAGAAATGAAGCGTAGGCATGAAGTACGGGCAAAATAAATACAAGAAGAGATAGATGATAGGAACATGCAAAGGAACACTTCGAAGTACACTCCAATGAGTAAGGCATATTTTGATAGGAAAAAGAGGAAAATTATGGCTCGACATGAGTTGTTTACATCCGACTATACTCCTACAATGGCTGATGAAGATGATTATATTATTTAAATTGAAGTTGTAGTTTTTAAATTTAAGTTGTTGTACTCTTTAAATTAAACAACATTAAACAACACAAACTCTACCCTACTACTACTACTTGGGGGAGTTATTCAAACTTAAACAACATTAAACAAAACATTTAACAACATAAAACTTAAACGCCAATTCCATGGTTATTTTCGTCCAAAGATGTGCAACTAGATCCTGTTGTAGGTACTTGTATATGGCACGTGAACGTATCATCCTATGACACCTTATGTACTCGTGTAAAGAGATATTACCACTTCTTGGATCCAAAGGTAAATTAGGTCCATCATATATTTTCACATGAGCTCTCGTTGACCTATTTGGATCATCTTGGTCATCATCAGACTCTCCATCAATATAGCCATCTCGCTCATCCTTCACAATCATGTTGTGTAATATGATGCATGACATCATGATGAAGTTCAATTTATCTCGACTCCACCCTCTTGCCGGTTCCTTAATGATCTTCTACCGTGCTTGTAGAATATCGAAAGCTCCATCAACATCTTTCCGGTATGTCTCTTGGTGTAAGGTAAACCATATTTGGGTATCATCCACAGGGTTTGCAATTGCTCAGACAAGTGTCGCCCACCTTGGGTAAATGTCATATGTCAAATAATACCCCATATTGTACTGACGTTCGTTGATGTAGTCGTCAAGTTGAGGTGATTTACCCTCCGTTAGGTTATTAAAGAGGGGTGAACGCCTAAGTACTGTAATGTCATTTTGGGATCCTGGGACTCCAAAGAAAGCATGCTAGATCCATGTATCAAACGAGGCAACCGTCTTTAACACAATAGTCGGCTTTCTAGATTTTTCGCTAAATCCTCCTTACCGTCCAGTGGGACAGTTCTTCCACTGCAAATACATGCAATCTAATGACCATATCATGCCCGGAAAGCCACGGTCTTTAGCTTTGCGAATGAGCCAAGTTATATTTGCTTGATTTGGTTCATAGAGGTATTTCTTTTTGTAAATTTGAACAACTGTGTGACAAAATTCAGCAAGATTATCAAGGCATGTAGACTCATACATACCATATCTATCATCAATCGTATTAGTTGGGCCATTCGGAGTGCAATAATAACCTTTTGATGAGGTGATAAACCAGGATGGCCTGCTCTGTCCATCTTCTGTCGAAAGTATGGATTAACATGTTGGACATCATGAAGTAAACACTCGAAGACATGATACCTCATCCGGAAGCAACGTCTAAAATCATCTTATGTGTACACTGAGTTGAAGTTGAAGTAGTTGTTCATCAAAGTCTCATGTGCCATCTCTCTATTTCGTGGTTTGTAAGAGCGACCAGTAACAGAGCCACCCTATTAAAGTTGTTCTTCAGTTTCTTTACACGCCATGACCCCAACCATTGTTGCAATATATGTTGTGTTGCACCATACTTCAACTTCTTCATCGAACTCCTCATCTTCTCGTCTCATCTGCACTCATTTATCTTCCAATTCGAAATTGGATGAGGACCCCTAGTAGGAATGCAAAAAGGATCCAAAGTTGGAATTCATTGCAAACTTGAATTGAAAGAGATATTGGAGATGGCAAAGATGAAGGTGTGTGAATTCTACCCCAATATCCAGCTAATTTATTAACATTGGAAGCTGAAGATAAGAAATGCCACGTAGATAAGAATCCTATCTAAAATTTGCACAACCAAATACATCTTGACAAGTGACACTCGAAATCCTATCCGAAAAATTATTCATATTACATAAAGATAAGAAATCTGGAGAGTTACTCACTTTAGCGACACGTCAAAATCCTATTCAAAAAATTATTGAGATTACATAAAGATAAGAAATCT